AAAGAATTCCGTTGACAGTTCGCCATAAGCTCTCACTCGACCAGTGGTGTTCGAGTAGAGAGCTTGTATAAGATTAATGTACTTCTTTGGTACACATTTCAACGATAGACACTGCCACATAACCTCACGATCAACACAGTCAACAGGTTTCTAATGGTTGATCTAAAAATGAGTCACGGTGCTCTGATGTTTATAAGGTTCGACAATCAACTTCTAAGTACTAATGCAACGTATAAATGAAGATATCAAGTACAGATAGAATATATACATATATATACTCTGTTTGTGCGACAGCGGTACTACAAAACCAAATACGGATTTAGTTGGATGAGTTCATTTCAAGCAATCATTCATGCAGACAGACATGAGAATGAAAAAAAAGCGTATAAGCGAAGTGAAGAAATAAAGCGAACCGACTCAGTGAGATAAAGCATCGTTAAGTATTTATAGTCAGACAAAATAAGCAAAGTGAGCTATGCACGTATACAATACTCGAATAAAAACAATCAAGGATATAAGCGAATTAATGACTTATGTCATGTTTTTGGTTATCGAACTTTTGATCTACTCCTTGAGCCTAACATTTTGATACTTGTAACATATTTTTCATAGACCATTCTTCATGATCACCAAATCCAGTTCGAAACTGCGGTTAGGAAATAATGTGTAGAAAATGTTGGCGCCAGAAATAGTACATCTCACTTTCTCCTACCCACTTCTGGTGCTTGATCTAATCGATCTGGTTAGTGCTGATACACAATACCCAGAGAACGACTGACAACAAGTCGTATGTAACTAACCTACAAAAGTTGTTCCTTGATTCCTATGCTCTCTCCTATAGGTGTCGAAAAAATCACTACGACCTCAATTTCTTATTCATGTCTCAATTTCAAAAAAAAATATCCTTCTTCGCAATAGAAGTAACTAGTGAATGACAATAGTTGCCTGTCTACTTTCCAACATCTTGCATGCATATCCTACCGTACCTGATGACTGATATATCAAAGCATTTACTGTACTGACTCAGTGGTAATAGATTTTTTTCTGAAGAGATATTAATTCAGTTTCAGTCTAATTTCTATTGATTACTATTTTCAAGGGTTCTATTGTACGTGGTATTTTCTGGTTTGATGTTATTTACAAACTTTTATGTACTTTCTTACGCCTGTCATTTTAATGGAGCGTAGGCCACTGACTAGCGAATTATTTTTCCGGTTAGCTTTTTTGACGAGTTAGATTTCTGGGAAATGGGTTTGCTAATCCCATCCATGCCCAACGTTTCTTCTTTCACTGGGCTTGGGACCAGCAGTAACCCCAGAAGGGCTCCAATGTACTGTTTTCTTACATACTTACGCCTGTTATCCCCAACGTAGCATAGGCCGCCGACCAATTTTCTCCAACCAATTCTATCCTGGGCTTCAATTTCCAGTTCTGTCCGATTTTTGTTCATTCTTGTCATGTCACTAAACAAAATATGAATACTTTCATTTTCGAAATCGTTTTCTTGATAACAGTTGGAAATGGGTATGTCAGATCAATAGTTGAAGTGGTGAAACTTCATCAGTTGAGGTGGTTGTGACATTTATTACGTTTGCCGAACCACCGACTGCCTCGACGAGCTTTGTTTTGTGATGTAGGAGTAGGTTGAAAGAAAGCTAGGGGCGGCCAAACGAAAACATGACACGAATCCATGAAATCACTGACAAGTGAACTGAGTCATGTTGGTAGATGTAAGCTGGATACCTGGTTGGGGTCCGCGAGACGAAAGTCACCTTGAACGACATGGCTCAGAATCGTTTGCAATGGCGCGAGTGCATCCATTCGTTGAGCTCTTCTGGATTCGTCAGCACCTCTACCTTTGTCTTTCTAACCTTATCTCACTGAATTATACTTTTTGAATCATATCTTCAAACCCAATTCTTCTTCATTACCATTAATACCTCTACTATGTTTATCACTATGGGATTTGATTTGACATTTGCGTCTCTGTGCTAATGTAGTGGTATGGCAACCTGAACTTTGGAACATAAGTACGAAGTTCTACGTTGCAACCGACTGATTGATTGGAAATGTGTTATGCTTAGCAGTGTAATCTAGGATTTGGCGCTCATCAGCTAAATATCGTCGCATCCTAGAGTTGATGTTCTACTTTGGGCCTCGTACCCAGTATGTGTTCACTTTAAACATTGTCATACAGTTGTAACTTATGTCTGAGAAACGTCATACAGCTAATCATTTTCATTTACTTGTTCACCGTTAAATTAATTAATCAATAAAATAATCATTATCATTTCTCTCGTCTGTTTCTCTTTTCATATTATTCAGCAACAATACGTCGACGATTTAATAAACCAGCAGCAGCTGTACGTGCTCGTATGGCACAGAAATGTAAAGATGAACGACGTTTTGGTCGTTCACCAAATTCCAATTATCATTCATACATTGTCGATGGAAATTTCGATTCAATTCATCCTAACAATACACCATCCCCAGTTGCAGCTATCTCATCAAGTCGTTCCGGTACACGAAAAACACGTAAACGACCAGCTCATTCCTCCTCTTCATCATCATCATCATCAACTGTGACGACCACCGTGACACCAACCACAACATTATCATCATCTTATTCCTTAAATGGTATAAAAAAACAATCGTTCACAACAAATTACCCGGCTAATACTTATCAAATGAATATTATAACCACAGATGATAATGCTGATCACGATGATGTTGATGATGATGACGACGATTGTCGTTCATCAACCAATGATTCTAATCATCAATTCTTGTCAATGAATTTATCCCCTACCACTACCACTACTACTAATAATAATAATATCAGTAGTATAAATAATGTGAATCATGATGATTTCAATTATACTGGTGAATTTGATTGTCTCATACAAACATCCTCATATCAGCATGATCATATTGATAATTCCTTGATTTAATATGATATCACTTGATGATGAAAATTTTTCTCCTATGATTCTGACAATCCCCATTGTCAGTAAGTAGATAGACTATCCTTCCTCATTTTATGATCACAACATTGAATTTAATAATATTGATGATTGCTAGCTACAATGATGATTCCGCTTGTCTGCTGCCTTGAAAACAAAAACCTAACCAAATCATACAGCTGCTATTTGCATACAGTTTTATAAATTTCTTTTGTTTTGTTTTTTAAATTCTCCCGTTGAATTTCTTCTTGGTTAGTTAGTTATGCTGTCATTGTTTGTTTTCTTTATGTTTTCTATATATACTACTTTTATCTGAGAATAGTAGTATTAAGTTTTTGAGTTAAATTTTCCGGTTTGTTTGCTTGTTCGCTGGCTCATTGAGATTGTGGAGTGCGAAGGATTTTGAAGATTTTGGCGAGTCCTTATTGGTTATTATTATAACTATTATTGGAACTAATACTTACTGTAAACATCAGCAAAATGTCTTCTTTTATTTATTTTTTTAAAAACCCAACAAATTTTAGTTCTTATTTTCATTTCATGTGTATACATTTTTATATTTTGCAGAAAAAAACTATGCTTCTATACATATACATATATATATTTTTAAACAGATGTAAAACAGAATTCACACACACACATTTAACCACACCGATTGTGCCTAAATTTCTCCCCTAGTTGCCTCATTCTCTCTCTCTCTGTCCAAATAGTGTGTACATGTTTTTGTACGTGTTGTATAATTGAGCCGATGGTCGTCCGGTCAATGTTTACATTTGATATTCTTCTCATTCGTTGAACAATTTCTGCTTTGACATACGAACTTATTTTATTCAATAAAATGTTTTTGGCTTTTTTTCACTGGCTGAACGATTCAGTATGAGTCTATTAATAAACATTAATGGTGATTAGGGTTGTTCTGTTCTCTCCTCTCCTCTACACTGATAGTCAAGCTCAAGAGTAGAACAGGATAGACAATATGTTCAAGGTTAATATCGACTGATTAATAGAAAATGTCTATACAAATGTACCAACTATATATATATATATATATATATATACTTTCTTAGGTATTGGTTAACTAAACTATGTTACATTGATATATGCATTGATCGTTATGAGAATGTTTCATTTCGTTTTCATAATTTTTTTTTCATTATCAAGTTAATTTATCCCTTTTTTCTGTCCCCACTATATTTTCTCGAGCCTTTTTTTTCCGTTATCTGTACACTATGGTCAAGGCCAATGTGTGTGTGTGTGTGCGTGCGTGCAAATTCATTCATCATATATTCAGCTGAATACAACACACTATTCGCATTAAAAATGTTATTTCTATGATAATTTTTACACAATAATAATAATTATAGTGTACTCTTTCTCTCTCTGACACACACACACACACATACTCATGTGTATGTATATCTGCAATAAGTGCGATGTTGTAGACACAGTGTCTTCATTTGACCTTTTGATTTACTTATTTACTTACTTATAAGTAATAGATCATCCGGTTCTCTATTCCATATTCTTTTCTTTTTAAACTATTATTATTATTATTATTATTATTATTATTATTATTATTATTATTATTTATATCTGACAAAAGTAATCATTTTTATCAATCTATATACCTATTTATCTATATGTCTGTCTATCTATCGAATACATGCAATGTGTCTATCTTTATTCTATCTATCTGTCTATCTCTCTATCTATCCAGACAATTTGTATTCATCATACACAATTCTAAGCAGTAGTAACCAACCCCATATTGAACATTCCTTCATTGAACATTGAATATTGGGTTGAATGCACAGTAAAACAAAATAAAACAAGACAAAAAAAATTGAACACTACATTTCAATTGCTTTACTGTCTCTCTCACTCTCTCTGTTTTTTACACTCATTCATTCATTGTTTTTTTCTTTTATTGTGTTTTTACAATTTCAATATTTATTGTTATTTTATGAATTTGTTATCTGCTTACTATGAACTCTTGTTTATTTGTCTGTTTGTCTTCTTTGTTTCTGTTTCAAGTTCAATGCATTCCTTATTTCTATATTTTTATTCAACTATGGATAGATTGATAGATAGATGGATGTGGTAGGTAGGTAGATAGGTAGGTAGGTAGATAGATAGTTAAATAGCTGTTCTTCATGAGTTAATTTCAAAATAAACAAACAATAATTTCTTTTTTTTTGTTTTACTGTAATCAAGATCTTTTTACACAATTTCAACAGAATCACGATGTTAATGATGATGATGATGATTCTTTTCGTTTGTTTTGTTTCTCTTTTTTTCTTCTATATATCCGGTGCTCGTGTTTAATAAATAAATCTTTCCGCTTTGTTTTAATGAAATATTAATCTCTTTTTTTTTTCGCGCGCGCGCGCGCGCTAACTCAACTTTATTATCATGATGTTTCAATGAGTAGTAAGTAGATGTGTTGCACGAACAACTGCATCGGTTAGGTAAAACACCATAACATTCATTATAAATTGATTGATTGATTGGGTTGGGTTGGTTGATTTGCCTTTATAATAATAATAATCAAATCATTATTATTGTGAAGTGCATATATTTTGTACTTTTTTTTATTCCATTTTGTATTTGTTTCGTTTTTTGTTTTTTTTTGTTTTTGTTTATTCTTTTTTTTTGATAATGGAGTTTACTAAATAAACAACAATTTTGCACTTTTACATTACCGTTTATAATGATGCTCATTTATTTATACATATAAATACATATGTTTCACTGCTTTTAGGTAAACGTTTATCGATCTATCTGTCTGTCTATCTATCTATCTATCTATCTATCTATGTGTACACACACACACACACGAAATGCCTATCGATATACATAAATATACCGACTCCATTTGTTTTTTGTAGAACAAGTACAAAAAAACAAAACGATGTCATTGGGAAAATGATGTAACCTGAATTATATACAATGAATGATAATGCAAATTTTTCTATTTTGTGATTTGTATGTCTATGTGTGTGCGTGCGCGCATGTGCGTGTGAGTGACTAGTGTGTTGTAGTCAGTCAGTTAGTCAGTCAGTCAGTTACAACGTGGAGCTTCGTACGTCAGTTCAAGTTGACATGCTCCATCAGCACAGAGACGCAAATGTCAATTTTAAATCTCATAGTGATAAAGATAGAAGAGGTATTAATAATGGTAATGAAGAAGACTAGGGTTTGAAGATCTGATTCAAAAAGTATAATTCAGTGAGATAAGATTAGAAAGACAAACGTAGTGTTGATGAATCCGTAGGATTAGGATTTGAGAGAGCACAACGAATGGATGCACAAGCGCCATTGCAAACGATTCTGAGCCATGTCGTTCAAGGTGTCTAGTGTGATCAGCAAAAAAGGATGGTGATGTTATAAGAAAGTTTTCAGTGGATAGGTGTTGGTTAACAAGATAATTGGATAATAATAAATGAACAGTACTCCTTGGCTGTTTTTTTGCCTTAATACATGAAATGAAATCATGCAGATAGTCTTTGCAAACCTAATATTTCTTGAAACATCGGGTTATAAGCTTCAGCTGGCAATTTGCTTTCTATCTCTTTAATTTCGTACACAGTGATGTCCTCGCAGCTTGTAAGAGTAGCACTCCCTGGCGGTGGCTATACACGCGTGAACAGGTGACAGCCAACTGTTCCTATTCTCGACTGTACTCTAATATTACAGGTGCACCTGTTAACTTAGTAAGCGAATATATAATACACTTATCATACGTCAGTCAGTTAGGAACAACGTAGAATTTCGTAAGCACTTACATCAGTTTAAGTTGCCATACCACATTAGCACAAAGAGGTAGATTTCTCAATATGATACCAATATTCTGCATCTTGTATTATTAGTATTAATACACATTGAAATCATGAATGAAGTATTGTTAAACTAACATTATAAAACCTGAAAGACGGCCGTTTCGTCCTAGCTGGTATTGAGACTCATCAATGGCAGTGCGCATCCACGAAAAAGGCTACTCGCAGGATTCAAATCCAGAACCTCTTAACCTCTGGACCACTGCCAGGCAGGTATTCAACGGTGACAATGTGTAATTCCGATCAATCTAGGGATTTTGCGCAACCTTACTAATTTGTCTTCATTTGTAACTGCCTATAACCGACAGGGTTGAACTCTATTGGTCACATTTCACTAGAACTCCAAGAAAGTTCTCACGAAACTAGTCACTAGTGATTGATTCACATTTCAATAAGACACAGCGATTCTCATAACTCTAATGAAAATTTCACTTATTTTAAAAACGTACTACTAATTTTAAGCTACTTATAAGTAGACAGAATTTTCATTCAAATTATTATGATCTAGTGAATTGATTGATTGACAGAACAGATTTTGATTTCAAATAATTGTAAGTTATAATCCCCATCTACTTAAATGACATTTTAGTGAAATGATTTCCAGGGTACTATAAGTATCTATGTGACAGACAGACAGATACAACGCAGAACTTCGTACATAAGTACATCAGTTCAGGTTGCTATGCCCCATCAGCAGAGACGCAACTGTCAGTTCAAATCCAAGAGTGATGCAATAATAGAAGTATTAGCAGTAATGTAGAAGATTCTGAGCAATGTCGTTCAAGGTCTCTAACCGTCGGTGACTATCGTCTCGCTCAACCCAACCAGGTAGCCTACATCGACCAACATGACTCAGCCCACTTGTCAGTGACTTCATGGATTTGTGCCATGTTTTGGTTTGGCCGCACCTAGCTTTATTCCAACCTACTCCTACACCACAAAACATAGCTCGTCGAGGAAGTCGGTAGTTGAGCATACGTATCACATATCCCATCCACCTTAACTGATGAAGTCTCACTACTTCATCTATTGATATGCTATCCCTACCTAGAACTCGATTCCTAACGACAGCATTGCTTATACGGTTGTCCTATGATACACGAGCAATGCTTCGGAGACATCGATGATCGAAGACTAGTAACCTACGGAAGTCCTCTACTCTTAACGGTTAAGTCTCGCATACGTACAGTAGGACGGAGCGAACTGCTGCACAGTACACTCGTCCTTTAATCAGCAAACGGATATCTCGCCTACGCCATAGGTGACGCAAGTTAGCAAAAGCTAGTCAATCCTTCTGTATCCGAGCTGAGACTTCGTCAGTCACAAGGCCATCAGCACTGATGAAACTCCCAAGATAAGTGGAGCGGTCTACACGTTCGACTACTTCACTCCCTATCACTAGACTCTGCATGTTGTCAGCATCTTCACCAAGTAGGACAATGTCATCGGCATATTCTAAGTCAATAAGCGAGCCACCTGGTAAAACGTCTACTCCTGGAAATTCAGACGAGGACAGGGTTATTTCTAGGAGCATGTCTATGATAAAATTAAACAAGAATGGAGAGAGTGGACATCCCTGACGGACACCACTTGAAGTAAACAATTCCGATGACAGTTTGCCATGTGATTAGCGTCACAGGATTGATTTGTTATAGTGTTCAAGTTGTAGTGTTAATATCTGGATAGTGTCTGATTCACCTGAATGAAAACCGATGTAGAACTAACTACTCTAGCCCATAAAGGTAAATTTATAGAATTGACATTTTTCAATAAAGTGAATTGTAATAAACTTTGAAAGAACACTGGAAATCCGATCCTATTTTCTTTTTATTGGTAATCAAAATATGAATTACCTAATGTGTAGATATAAATTACGGACTATAAGTTGTATTCATTTATGACCTATTTTAATAAGCAGTAACCGAAATTATATTCGAAGTTACATTTTTTAGCAAAATAAATGACGTATTTCACTATGAAAGTGTTTTTATCACACTATAATAGTCAGTCAGTGAGCTTACAACCTAGAACTTCGTACATCAGTTCAAGTTTTCATGTCATGTTAGCACTCAGAGATCTGATTACGGATAAAAGAAATGATTTGAGAAGATATAAATCAGTGAAATAAATTTGGTTAGGATTCGAGAGAAGATAAAGAATGGATGTGTTTGCGCCACTGCAAACGATTTTGAACTATGTTGTTCAAGGTCTCTAACCATCGGTTACTATCATCTTGCTGACCCTAACCAAATAGTTTACATCAACCAACCCACATGGCTCAGTCCAGTTGTCAGTGACTTAATGGTTTTGCGCCATACTTTGGTTTGGCCGCCCTTGGCACAATGCAGCATATGAAATTCGAAATTTACAATGATTCTACCCACTTAATTATCTTCACTTAAGGTATAAAAGCTCTGTTGTCTATATCTTTTATCTTGTTGTTTCTGTAAAGTTTTCATCGGTGAAATATGTCATCATATGACTTAATTAGTCCATTAAACCCATCAGTAGTTTAAAAGTATCACTCATCGTTATTATTTTAAAAACAAATCATAATACTCAATATGGATTTATAATGGTGAATAAATCCCCCAAAATAAGTAGTTCGGTGTTAGGATATTCATCAAAAATCCTAAGTCTAATTCTATTGGTCAATTCCTACTGGTCATCCTAACTGTCAATGTCACAGATTTCAATGTTATTTCCTATTCGACCTAACTGTATAAATACGCATTGTGTGTAACGTTTTATGACCCGGATCCCTAGTCCGGGATCCTGGTTCTCCTCTGGACTCGGACCTCGTACTTTCTGGATACTTGTAGAATACACGTTTTATTTCATATCAAGTCTTCTTCTTTTACTCAGTAAAGGGTTTCGGACAATCGGATTAGAGTAGCATGTCGTGTCGCCGGATCCTCGCTCTCGTTTTCCGACTAAGGTAAACTCTTAATAATTCAAGCATATCAAAATGACATGTTTACGTGCATGCGTAACATGGATGCTGGCCTCATTATTTTCACTGGACACAACATAGCTGAAGGCACTCGGAACTGATTACTACAAGTAGAGTTCGTCAAGATCGTTCACTATCGTCATTTTTATTCAACTTATGACGCGATTGTAAACGTAATGTCTGGCAGCAGAAGATGGGGGAAGATCAAGAAAGGAAGAGTGGGAACACAATGGAATTTGTATGAAACGCATGAATAGTGACAATGGATTTATGTTTGGCAACAGGAACAGTCCAGTTCGATATGATGGACTGATAGTTTGCCAATGAACGATTTACGATATGGTTTTCCTATTTTACTGAGTAACTCTGTAATTTTCGTTAAATACAATTCGGTTGCCCTCACCTGTGTTCTCCTTCACTATATTTGGTGTCGCTGCCTGCACGAAGGAAGGAGCTCCCGTGTCCGAAAGAGTTTGAGGACGGAGATTTGCGGAGCTTCCTGGAGGAGTTTGAGGCCGCGGTGGGGCTGGTGGGTGTGAAGGGGCCCGGGGCGGAGTTGGTGGTGCTGGGGACGCTGCGGGGAGGTGAGGCAAAGGCTGTATACGACAGCTTGGACGGTGCCGCCGGGAAGACGGTCACCGGGCGGCTGATGACGGAGTTCGACAGCCCAGTGGACAGGGAGAAAGAGTTCCGGTTCGCGAGGCTGTCGGTGACCCGCTGGTGCTTGCTGTGAAGCTCACCAGATTGTTGCGCCGTGCTCTGCCGAATATCGATGAGTCGGAGGCACAGTTGTTGGCGTCGCAATTTATCGAGTGTGTCTGCCGCCGTGTCCCAGTAGCGGGAACTAGTAAACGCTACACGTTGGATTGATGCCGTACCCATTCCAGACCAGCGGGCAAGAACAATGACCGAAGTGGTAATCCGACATATTGTAGCAAGTCACGGAATACGGAAGGTGATATTAACTGACTAGGGTCCCTGTTTTGAAAGTGACGAGTTTAAAGCCCGTCTAAAGCAGTTTGGCATCAAGAGGATACGAATTACACCGTATCATCTGCAGATGAATGGGCTTACAGAGAGTAAGACCCGGACGTTAAAGGAATGGTTAGCATCTAAAGGAGGAAATTGGGAGAAAGAGTTACCACTGATTTTGCTGATCCTAAAGTGTGAAGGACCGTACGTGGCGCGGTTTACACGATCCGGAGAGAAGACAAGCAGAAGCGCGTAAACGCTAGTCAACTGCAGAGATGGTTTCAAGATTATCAAGTGTATGAGTCAAGGAAAGCACCAAAGATGACAACGGTACGGCGATCAGAAAGACTACGACGACAGCTTATTAAAAGGGGGTACGAGTGTGGTGCGCGCTACTTATAAGTAGTATGTGACGCGAGTGTAAACGTAATGTCTGGCAGCAGAAGATGGGGGAAGATCAAGAAAGGAAGAGTGGGAACACAATGGAATTTGTATGAAACGCATGAATAGTGAAATTTCAGACAATGGATTGAAGATTTGCAAATTAACGGTTACGATATGGTTTTCCAATTTTACTGAGTAACTCTGTAATTTTCGTTAAATACAATTCTGTTGCCCTCAACCTGTGTTCTCCTTCACTACAGTACGTTTATACTGGTTGGAGTCCGTGAGACACTAGTACCCGATGGTTAGACACCTTGAATGACATGTTTTGAAATCGTTTGCAGTGGCGCAGGTGCATTCATTGTTTGTCTTCTCCCATATTCTAATCTTCCGAATTCTTCATCCCCTTTAATCTTTCTCTTTTTAAGCTTATTTCACTAATGCTAATGTAATATGACAACTTGAACTGATGTGCATTCGTACGAAGCTTTGTGTTGTAGCTGACTAATTGTATGCAATATCTCACATTTTCGAAGATACCAATTGTATCACTCAGGTGGACAGTCAAGATGTAAACGTGATAAATGCATATGCCTCTTTACGACTGACTTTGAACCATGTCTCATGCGCATCAGCAATTGATTCTCACTGTCTAATTGATCTCAACAACCAAAGAACATGACTTAACCTAATAACAGATGAATTGGTTGAAGAAGTTTCTAGATTGTTTATCGCACACAGTCTTTAACAGGGGCTCTAATCAAAATTGGTAACTATATATATATATATATATATACATATATACCCAACAACTAAAATGTTTCCAAAATATTAATTGATACAATTAGTACAAAGAACGAAAAAATAATAGTCAATTAGAAAAAGACATCAATTATTACACGCATGTTTGTTTACATAACCGGTACAGTTTCATGATTGATAGTTATTAAATAGAAAAGGGTCAGAGTGATAACCAGTCTAGAATCAGCCCAAACATGATTGGTTGATTCGCCACTCTTCACAATTGAAATTAATACACAATGCACTGAGAATTGGAAGTAAATAAACACATGGTAACAACTGGAAAAGTAAATTCAGGAAACAGTTGGTTGGAGATTTCTGCTCGGTGGATGGTCTATGCTGTGCGAGAAAGGTAACAGGAAAGTTATCTTTATACAAAATCAGACAGGTTTTTTTTGTCAAAACACCGAGAGCATCATTGTCAAAACGAAAAGAAAAACTCAATAATTCCATAAAACAGAAATATAGACAATAATTAAACGAATCTCGAAAAAAATTAAAATTTGTAATCACGGGAAAGAGGAAATTCGAGATAATAATTGTAAGTTTAACATGCGTGTATATATGCGCGTGCACATAAAACACAAGGACAGAGAGAAAAAGAGAAAATACTCAGTAGATATGAGATTATGATTCTTTCCGGCCAGAATCAGCAGCAGCGGAAGAATTATTATCATTATTGTCTTCGACAAATTTCGATGAAATCACAGTCACATTGCTTGAACGAATCGGTACACGATCAATGTGATTACGATTGAAATGAAATGCTGGAACTACCCATGTACCGCATACACATGGTTCACCTTGAAAGAAAATCATTTCAATAAAATCGATTTTTAATCATCACATGATAAAATATGTGAAATAGACATTTAGTTCGTGCATTGAAAATCATCAAGATGAGTTTAATGATGAAGACAATCTTGTTTTCTCTACAGCATAAAGGATGTTTGAGTTTACTGAGAGTTAGGATTCCGACAAATCTTAGAACTAGCCTTTGACGATCTTCAGCACTTGCTTTGAAGTAAACTTCATGAGCAACAAGCTCAGAAAAAGCACTATGGTTTCAGATGTGGATATAGATGCTTTTCTGACCAGGTATTCAACTTCTACCAGGTTGTACAACAAAGGCATAATTCCTGACACAAACCAATAGTAGTATTAACCCCCCCCCTCTGAAAGCAGCAGTATTCGACTCCATCTACTGAAGAGTTGATTAGCTCGATTTCTCACTAAAATGTGGAAGTATATATACCTTATGAAGGCTATTTGGTCCAACGCGAATTGATCAACCTAAACCCCCTCAGGAACTATCAAGAAAATTGAGAATGCCATTTGGTGTTTATCTGTTTGACTGTCTATTATTCACCTAACAAAAGATTTATTTGCCGACTTGAAATACACAGACCACACAATTTCACTACAGAAAACACCTTGACAAAATCAAGTCTTTCAACAGTCCAAAACAATGTCAAGGCTGTACGGTATAACTCGCTCTCCTGGTAAATCCAAACTGTTTCTTCGAAACTAGCCTGTGCCAGATCCTAGGATAATCCTAGGTGGTGAATGTGATTGAGTGCTAACCATTTGGCTTATCTTGAATCTCATCAGTCCTAGTAAGTCATTGCCCGATGAAATTTAAGAATGGGTTCAGAGGTCTCTTGGCTGCTAATGACTTACGTCATATGCGGCATAGGCGAGATGACTGTCTGCAATCTGAGGAGAGAGAGCAGAGTATTCCATAATCTTTTCCGGACTACTATATTGTGGTGTGAGCTACTTATAAGTAGTATATGACACGAGTAGAAACGTAATGTCTGGCAGCAGAAGATGGGGGAAGATCAAGCAAGAAAGGAAGAGTGGGAACACAATGGAATTTGTATGTAAACGCACGAATAGTGAAATGTCAGACAATGGATTGATGATGGATTGAAGATTTGCAAATTAACCGTTTACGATATGGTTTTCCAATTTTACTGAGTAAATCTGTAATTTCGCTAAATACAATTCGGTTGCCTCACCTGTGTTCTCATTCACTACAATATAACTGTGAAACATGGTTTATGAAAATAGAATACACGTGTATACCACAGGCTTTTGGCTATAGATGTCATTTACCCGTTACAAGTATAATCTACCTCGTTGAAAGATGTTAGTCGTAATAGGAAGTTGGAAGGAAGCTACGGCAATCGAATAAAGACGTACTATCAGCCCATGAAATCAATGTTTGTTGGGGACCTATGTTAACATATCCTGACACTACTTAGTTAGGTTCTGTGCAATTATTGTAACCAATGATTGAAGATATCACGTGACACGGCGTAGAACGCATCACAGTGGCCCAGTAGAATTCATTTACTACATTGCTCCAAATCTTAAGTGAGGTATTATGACAAGTAGCATCCTTTATAGATGCGTGATCGTGATAAGTCCCACGTTGATAATGACTAGACTGACTGACTTTATGACTCAATTACTTCCACTGGAAGAATATTTGTGTTCATACCCATGATGACTGATGTGACCAACTATGTGATCATACAAAACTTAGAACCTGGAATCGAACAAGGTTGCTATCAAGATAGAAATAATGGTGGCTTGACCGCCTCTAAGCTTTCTTCCAACCTACTCCTATACCACAAAATATAGCTTGTCGAGACAGTCGGTGGTTGGGCATATGTAGCACATGTCCCAACTACCTCTACTGATGAAAATTCATCACTTCGTCAACTGACTTGCTATCCTTACCTAGTACCTGTTTACTAACGAGCGCATTGCTTACTCGATGAAATAATCACACTACCCATCATTGAACTGACACATGTTTTTTTTTAGGTACCGCTATCACTTTTCGCTTCACTGTAACATCTCTCACTGTTTCCACTTAAAACTCTTAATATTGATTCAGTAGTTTTCCCAGTTAAAATTAATACATTTTATCAGTTACAACAAAAAAAGCTTACTCACCACACCAATTGAAAGAACCAACTTTTGCATTGCATCCAGGACAATAAAGCTAGAATGCAAAAAACAAAGAAATGTGTGAAGGGACACATACATTTAAGCTTTCTGGTCATATTGTATTTATATGTGAACATTGATAACAATACGATTCGGATGCTAGAATAAAGAATAATTGTGGCATTTGAACATACGAACTACTACCTGGAAGTTGAGAGCTTCAACTACTGCACCCTTGGTCCACTTAAAATGTATGCGGTCGTTACTATGAGTTGCAGATTCAGTCAGTCAATCAGTTACAATGTAGAACTTCGTACGTACGTACATCAGTTCAAGTTGCCACAACGTATTTGCACAAAGAAAATGAACTGTCCGTTTGAATCCCATATAATAGAGGTTGCAGCAGTATTAGCAGTGATCGGAAAAATTATTCAAGAAGTAGAATCTAGTGGAAAAAACTTAAAAAGATAGAGGTGATGAGGAATTGCGAAGACTAGGATTTGACAGAACACAAAGAATGAATGCACCTGCGCCGTTGCAAACGGGTTTGAGCCATGTGATTCAACGTCTCTAATCATCGATTACTATCATCTCGCGGGCACCAACCAGATAGTCGACACCTACTAACATGACTTAATTCAATCACCCTGACGAAATTTATCATGAGAACTAGAGCAAACACAAAAGCAAAATGAAATGAAGATCTAAGACTATTGGATTGTCGCTAACAGTAAGAATTAATCAGAAAACTACCTGGAATTTAACAGATTCACTGAACATGTACTTATACCTATCAATTGGAAGAGTAATACTGTACAAAAGTATGATAAAACAAGGTCCCAAAAATACACTTATATCATTACACTTGGGATTCTGTTTAGTGGATTAGACAAAGCAATTCAGTAAATCAGGTATAATTTCATAAACTGAGCTTTTAGTCACATTGAATGTTTAGTCTGTAGAGATATTAAGCACCCTCTGCTGACTGCAGATGGGTGTGACAGCAGTAAGGTGTTTCCCTCGGACAACCAGCATCTGAAGCGATGCTGCCTTCTCACAAGGAAGGAAGGGGTTGGAAAAGGTCGACCATAAAAATGTCACACCTCACCCTATCTCACGGATTCCCGACTCCTAAGGTAAGGGTGCCCACTAAGGGTGTTTAAGAGCAGAGCTAATACTCTACAAGCCTTTCATCAAAAGGCCCTGCGTGACCGGCCTCAAGCAGTTTTCCCTTGGGCTCTGCGGTCACGCTGCCAGGTCTCTAAGACCAACGCTAATCTACCTTCCTTTCCAGGTCCCTTAGGAAACACCCTTCCACTTGTAGTGAACGAGAACACAGGTGGGGCAACCGAATTGTATTTAGCGAAATTATAGAGTTACTCAGTAAAATTGGAAAACCATATCGTAAATCGTTAATTTGCAAAATATCAGTTCATCATATCGAACTGGACTGTTTCTGTTGCAAAACATCAATCCAATGTCACTGTTCATGCGTTTCATACAAATTCCATTGTTTTCTAACTCTTCCTTTCTTGATCTTCCCCCATCTTCTGCTGCCAGACATTACGTTTCTACTCGTGTCATATACTACTTATAAGTAGCTCACACCATACACTGTGTAAACGGCCGGGAAGCGACAACCGCCCTCATACCCGTAACATCATGCGAGACCAAGTCGGTCATAATCAAATGACTGACGACAATGAATTTAACTAGTTGTGTTAAGATTAGTACAGTTTTTATGAAATCTTTCAATTCATATTCACTAAATCAATTATCAAAACGCAATAAATGGATATTCATTAGAGAGAAAAAAAAATACTACGTAGTGAATTAAACTCAAAAAAGTTCCATGTACCATTGGGCCGAATATCTAATGAACATAATTTGAAAGGATAACAAACAGCCTAACATTAAATGTAATAGTTTACACATCATGCTTTTAAATAAGGAGACATAATCGGGATAGATAACATTACCTTTCCTTCAACATCACTAGTATTATGCTGTGTCCAATCCAATGGATCACAAAATAATTCATCTTTATCACATTGTAAAGGAGAATTATTCAATGAAACACCTTTGATTAAAACACTAGACACATTATTAACGTTTTTAGATTTAGTAGAATTTATAAGAGGATTGGGTGTTGTTTCTGGTTTTTGATGAATACGTAACTGATTCGAATTGAATAATACTTGTCTAGAAAAGATAATTTTTAAAAATTTAAGAAAATATTCTTTTTAAACCTGCATTTTTTACATTTAAAACTTGATGGTGTAGTGCACAATTGAGGAACAGTTTGATTATTTAAAATATCACCATTATATTCTATAAAGCAAAAAAAAATGGATTGATACATTAAAAACTAATTAAACAATAAACCCGTGAAAACTGATAAACTTCTTTTTGTCATATATTGTTGAAATAATGAAGAATCACGATTGACAGTCCAATTCATAGTATGAAATAATTTTAACTGATTAATAAATCCATTATTTGGACTAAATGTGATAATGGTAAATAACCATAGAGAAAAAAAAATATTCAATCAGCTAGAAAAAAAACAAATATTTACAAAATACTCCGTTTTCTTGAAACAATATGATAAGCTTCTTCATAGGATAAATGATTTTGACGCATAATATAAGCGATAACAACACTAGCACTGCGTGATACACCCATTGCACTAAATTTTAAAAAAAAAAAACTCAATCACTATGTATGCACTATACACTTACCAATGAACTAAAATATTCGAATTACTTTTTATACTTTTATCAATAAAGTTTAAAGCATCTTCAAGTATTTCTAATAAATCTTGAGATGGTTCATCGCGTAAATATAAAAATTTCATGTTAAATCCTTTGAATACATCACTGTCTAATGGTAGAATATCAATTGTTAGTATTGTAAATATTTCATTTCTTTTTAAGACTGCAATATTTTCTGCAAATGGCATAGGTCCAAGCCATAGACCTGGGATAATTTCATCCATATTGGTTATTAATCACTAAGAAGAAAAAAAACAACACAATCAATACAAAACATGAATTGAAATTCAAAAAAAAAAGAATTTAAAATCTTTAGATACTACTTATGATGCATAAGTTAGGATGAAAACAAGAACTCTATACCATATATGGTATTAATTAAATAATTAGCACCACCAACCAAATTGTAAGTTGATTCTAATCAGTATGATAATGATATCCGTTTGCTGACCAAAAGTCGAGTGTACTGCGCAGCAGTTCGCTCTGTCCTACTATACGGATGCGAAATATGTTCGGTGAGAGTGGAGGACATTCGTAGATTGCTTGTTTTAGATCACAGGTGTCTCCGAAGCATTGACCGTATATCCTGGGACGACCGAGTAAGCAATGCCATGGTTAGGAAACGAGTACTAGGTAGGGATGGCAAATCAATTGATGAAGTAGTGAAACTCCATCAGTTGAGGTGGTTGGGACATGTGTTACGTATGCCTAACCACCAACTGCCTCGATGAGCTGTCTTATGGTGCAGAATTAGGTTGGTAGAAAGCTAGGGGCGGGCAAACAAAAACATTACACAAATCCATCAAATCACTGACAAGTGGATTGAGTCATGTTAGTAGATGTAGGCTACGTGGTTGGGGGTCCGCGAGACGAAAGTCACAGATGGTTAGAGACCTTGAACGACATGGCTTAAAATTATTTGCAATGACGTAGGTGCATCCACTTGTTGTGTCCTCTCAAATTCTAACCTTCTAAATTCCTCATCTCTTTTTCTTCCTGAATTTATCTCACTGAATTATACTTTTCTAATCATATCTTCGAAACCTAATTTTCTCCGTTACTGCTGATACTTTTACTGTCGCTACCACTAGTGAATTTGAACTGACAGTTATATCTCTGTGCTAATGCGGTATGCCAACCTGAACTGATGTACGTACGTACGAAGTTCTACTTTGTAACTGACTGACTGAAATGATACAATTTAGGCTTAGATCGAAGTGAACTACAGCTTTTGTAGATAATCTAAAGCTAATCATTGAAATTGCAAGTCTTTGGTGAATGTATTCGGCTTTTGCTTACATGTATGTCTGAAATATAATCAGGTTGTTTGGACCAAGAAACATGGGTCAAAAATCATCATCTAATGAATGAGAATCGACTGCCTGGATAGATGATCTACAGTCACACAAACCCTAACGATTTCAGTCACTGACCAATTTTTAAGATACTTTTAGCACCACAGTCACCAACTTACATTGAAGACAGCTGAAATACAGGTTCAAGCGATCAAGTTGCCCTAGATTTCTCAACAAAACTGTTTAAAGCATAGAACCTCACAAGTTGTTAAATTTTAAAACGAAACGTTAGGACTGCTAGGCCAAAACATTATAGTTATATATTTATATATACGTTACTGACTATTAAGGTTTTTTATCCTTATACCTGTAGTATAAAAAATACACGTATTGTCAAGAACCACTCATATATGACAAGCATGTTAAGAATTGGTTTTGTTCACAAACATCTGATCACATGATCATAGCTGAGCTTGAACGCAAGCACTTAATTTACCGATCGGAAAAAATCAGTATGGTAGATTTCAGGAGCTAATTTCGAGAATTTCGGGGCAAATGAGACAACAGACCTAGAATTTACTTAAAGTATTCTCCAGGTGTGAGATTTCTCCCTAAATTCAGTCAGAGTTTTCCAAGAATTGGTAGATTGTGATGCACTTACTAAGCAAACGGCATGCAGTCAAATGCGATTCAAAACAAAGCGTGCTTTCACGAAAAAAATTCTTTAATAATAGAAGTGATCAGAAGCATATGATAAACACACCCTCACAGTACCACTTACCATAAGAGCAGTAGCGTGTTGAGGTCAGTCAAGGTCAAACGCTGGAATTCAACCTCACATTCCAATACCTTTTTCACGAGCTAGTATAAACCAATTGAGTTCTTTGCGCTCGTTCTTTCTTTCCAGGTGTTCGGTAGTATCCAATGGATGGAATTCTAGCCACTCAAACGTCTGATTCTAGTCCGTTGGCAGTTGGTTGTGAGTTTGTATGTCTCGGGATTTGAATGAAGACGTTTGTTTCAGGGCAGTAAGGTTTCTGGATACCAGGAGCTATCACATTACCAGAGCGGAGATCAGTTAGTTGAAATGTGGAGAATAATAGGGAGAAAACTCTAATGCTCATAAGAGGATTTCAGGACCAAGTAGTATATAGATAATTTAGTTTATCAATTGGTAGTGAAGATTGTGAGGAAGGACCGAAGTGTAAGCAAGGGAGAGGAAACAGAGGTAATAGGCGAGATAGATTAATTGAGTGATCTGAGGAGATGGCAATAATAACAACTAGCAGGTTTCAAGACATGCATCAGGCACAGCTTGTCCACGAGGGAGACGTCAATCCAAATGTGAGTACGTGGGGAGTGGTGGTGATACATCGGTAAGATGCTCACGTTGGGATGCTTTGAAGTGCTCAATATGTTGTAGGCCGTAATCAGATCACCTCTGATTCTTCTGTAACTGCATGGCAATAATCCGAAAAACCGGAGTCTGTCTTACTAAGGTTTGTTCTTCAACTCTATCACCCAATTCGTTGCTCGTCTCTGCGCTCGATCCAAGCGATTTATTTCTCTTTTGGGCAGAGGGGGTGCGATGTCGTTGCTAATCTTCAGGTGTGGGCGCGCATATGTCTTAAATGACGTTGATAATAAGTCTGGGGTGAAAACATGTTGTCTTTGGATAAAGTGAAGAGTCGCATTTACCTTGGCTGCGTCCCCTATTTAGTTCAAACTGGTGTTCAGGCTATCAGTGGTTCTTAAACTGAGATCGTGTTCTGAGGAGACATTAGGTAGCGGACTTCCGTTGAGGGTGTACATCGTTCGCGTCATGTGGGGCAGACTGTACATGACGTGACATTTTGGATGGTTCGATTTTAAACTTTTTTTCACTGCCGATTGCTCAATAGATGCAATGTCCTTTTGAAGCTCAGCCGAATCCTCTTCACTTCGAATGGACCTCCAGATCTTTGCATCGTCTGCGTAGATCAACGCCGCCGAGCTTACTTTGTCTAACAGGTCGTTAATAAATATAACGGGGAAAAGTAGGTCTAAACTAGTTCCCTATGATGCTCCCGATGTTGATACTAGCCAACCCGTGTACACTCTATATACCTTGGCACGAAAATTTCTATTCTCAAGGAAGTTTCTGAGCCAAGATAGGAATGCGTAGTAAGGTCCGTTTGCTTAACCTTCGTGATTAGGCATGCATGGGGTACTGTGTCGATGGCTTTTTCAGATTCTAGAAATATTATGTGCACCGGTATATTTTGGTCGCAGTAGGATGTCCGACTGTACCACGCTATGAGAACATTGGATGTGCATTACCCGCCCTTCCGAAACCCGTGTTGAGCTTCATGGTGTATTTCATTCTTATCCATGTACTCCCTCATTTTTTCGTTCACCAGCCCCTCCGTTACCTTTGATAGTATTGGAAGTAATGCGACTGGTCTGTAACAGGCTGGGCCCTTTCAATATCCACCTTTGAAGACTGGAGAGAGAGAGTAGCTTGTTTCCATTCCACTGAGATTTGGTGTGACTCCAGTGAATGCCTGAACAGGCCACATATCGGTGAAGGGAGGACCATGGGGCGAATATTGTCACAACCCGGCAACTTTCCTGTGCGTGGTAATTTTATTTTCCTTAGTATTAAGTCAGGAGTGATACGGATATTCCCTAAGCCGTCAGCTGAGATTGGGTTTGCGTAGTTCTCTGAACATGTGGATGCCTGGTTTAACTCCTCAGTGAAGTTTATATTTAAAATCTCAGCCATTTCTATGTTGGTGAGGTCTTCCTCATTCAGACCTTCGAAAGAACACAAATCCTGAATCGTTGGTTTTCTTTTAGTCTTGAACCTAAGCAGATGCTTAGGGTTTGCCTGTATTTTGGTGGTTAGCTTCATCTGATAGTGTCTCCTATCGCTTAGCACTTTGGTGTTGCATCTATTTCTCCATGCCAAGTAAGAACTACGATCAGCATCCTCCAAGGAGACCTTCCACTGGTGCAAGGCTCTCCTCTTCGCCTGTAGCAAGAGTTCAGTTCCGCGCCTAATCCATGTTCTTCTATTCCTGGGTGTGCGGTGTGACTGGGGTACATTGCTAAGGACAGCATTCTGGATGATGATGGTGAGAGTAAGCAACCTTGCCTGATACCGGTCTTCACCTAGGATGAGTCTATCCACAAATTCTCAGTTTAACTCATCGCAAGAATTCCGTACGTTGTTGACTATCGTCTCAGATACGCTGTAGTGTCGAGGAAGCCTCCATAGTGTTATCCTGTCCACACTATCATATGCTTTCTCGTAGTCAATGAAGTTGGTGTAGAGTGGTGAATTCCATTCAACTGACTGCTCCACAATGATCCGTTATGTTGCAATTTGGTCGATTCACGATCGATTCTTACGGACTCCAGACAGTTGATCTGGAATTTGGTCGTTTAAGAAGTCCTTTATTCTGTTTAAAAACGCTGCTGAAGACTTTGCATGGTAGTGAGAGAAGAGTGATGCCTCTGTGTTTCTCACACTTCCTGTTGGCACTTGTTCTTAATCCCAAATCTTGTTGAAGATAATACGCAGTATTTTTGCAGTTGCTTTCACGTCTGCTTTCATCGACTCTCCGAGTATGTTGTATGGTCTCCCTACTCTGGGGTTCTTGGTTTGTCTGATGGCCACGCTAACCTCTTCGATTATTGGTGTACCAACATCTATTGGGAGGTCCGTGGATGCTGCTTCAATTTTGCATGGGTTCAGTGGGGCTGGTCAATTTAAGAGTTCCTTAAAAGTTCTCTACACATTTGTTTTGCTGTTCTTCAGTGTTGCTGATTACTTTGCCTTCCTTTCTTTTCACTGGTCGTTCTGGTTTACGATAGTTTCCAGCGAGCTTCTGTCATGTATCGTACAATTGTCTCAAGTTTCCGTTTCAATGCTAGATCATTCACATATTTACATTTGTCTGCTCTGGTGCTCCTCTTTACTTGTCTGTTTGCTTCTGTGTATTCGGCTTGTGCCTTAACTTTCTCTGCTCTTGTTCGGCTGATGTTGATCTCTGCCTTATTGCTCCTCCTGTCTTGGACTCTATCAAGACTATCAACAGGAATCTATTCCTTATTATAGTATTTCTTGTGGCCCAGAACCTCCTGACATGTTTAGGTGATTACATCTTTCATCTTGTACCAGTTGTTCTCCCTGGCTGTTTCCTCTTCATTGAGTAGATCATGAGAGACATGAAAGCTATTGTTGGCGGCTATCCTGAATTTGTTGGGCTCCCCAGTATCCAGAAGAAAGGCCGTATTAAACTTTTGTGATGTTGTCTGCCCCGTTGTCTAGTGTTCTTTGATTTTCGGCTTCATTTTAACGACCGGCATGTGATGATCTGAGGCCATATCATCTTTTTTCTTGATTCTCACATACTCCATGGTCCTTCTGACCTCTTGATTGATATATATAAGGTCGATTCGGTTCTTAGTGTAAGCTTTGTGTATGCATTTGTGTTGGGAAATTGTGTCGCCGATGGCCAGTTTGTTGAAGGCACTTAGATTTGCAAATCTCTAACCGTTTTCGTTCCTTTCTCCCAGTCCATGTCGTCCCATGATGTCTTCATATCCAGTGCTGTCCATTCCAACCTTGCCATTCAGGTCTCCCATAAGAATCGTCAAATCCTTTTGGTGACCATTTCTCGACGACTGACTGCAGCCTTTCGTAGAATTGATCTTTAACGTCGTCATTGTTGTCATTGGTAGATGCATAGCATTGGATGACGTTCATTCTAATGTCCTCTTTCTTTGTTTTTAAGGATGCTTTAATGATCCTAGGTCCATGAGATTCCCATTCTATCAGTGCGTTTTGTACTTGTTTGGACTGCATCAGTGCTACTCCTTGTGTATGCGAAGCATTTTCCTCTTCATGACCAGAGTATAACAGCATTTCTTCTGAAGCTGGTTTCAATTGTCCTACCTGTGTCCAATGCGTTTCGCTGACTCCAAGAACCTTGAGGTTGTCTTTTTGATTCCGCTGCAACTTGAAATAGTCTTCCAGTCTCCCACAATGTACGAATGTTCCATGTACCTAAAAGAATGGTTGCTATGGTTGTCAGGAGAGGCATCGGCCTCGTGACTTCCGAAGGAACTCGGCTCTCATCATGAGACGTCATGACTCTTCTGAATGAAGACCTTCTAACTCACAGGGTAGATTTAAAATGGTTTGAATTGATTTTTCTGGTAAGCGTTGTTTTTAGGGATTTAGTTTTCGACGGGATAGAGTGGCCAACCACAATCCGAGCCCTCCATCTTTACTCGGGCTTCAGACCGACAGTAACTTCAGAGGAGCTCTAGACCAAGTTTTCCTGTAACAATAACGCAAATAATACTAGCATTACCCGATGGTAGTGTACGTACCCCGCAAAAGTATTAAGGGGAATCATTAATGTAGCATGATTTGATGGAATCGTTTAAACTATGATATGACTGATTCAATGAATGCCGCATTTAAGAGCTAACGGAGATCTTCCAATAACAATTTTGAGGGTCGTATATGCGTACTGAGGATATAATGGTTATGAAAAGTCTGATTACTCTAGCAAGTGCAAGCAAGGGTCTTGTTTTTACCTAAAAATTGGGAAGCATTAACAGTAAAATATCCTAGATGTGCCAGGAGATCTATCATCGTCATATTAACAAATATAAAGTTAGGTGGGTTTAAAGTGTTTGTGAGAAAATGAAATAATAATAATAAGGGGGGTCGATAAAGTAGAACGGATACTGTGACAAACATATTGAACAATATATCATAAACTAACCAGTACCAGAAGAACAGAGGCTAGTGACCGTTTTCTTGTAAAAGCAGCATAAAGTAGTAACGAAAAATAGCTACATGACTTTTCTCGAAATTTACTACAGCGAAATAGTTCGATCACATCAGCATCAATAAAAAGTTCCAAACAACCATAGAAGATGTGAAAACAAAAAGAGAGACTTAAATGACTTCAGATTAGAGACTGGTTGTGACCAAGGCTAAAATGAGGCTAAAGAAACTTTGAACAACTGGGTTAGCAGAATTGTAAAAGTTATACAGTTTATCTTCGAGACACTACAATCCTCTATGAATTCCGTATAGCTATCAACAACAAGTTCCGAAAATTTCAAGATCTACTCAAAAAAGGGGAAACCAACAGCGAAAACAATTGAAAGCAATAAAAGAGACAAAACCTTCAGTATACGAAGGGATATTGAGCCGCAAGAAACACTGACGTTAAGAATGAGCCTCAGTTACTACACCGAGTAAGAATTAAGAAGTGAATGAGGAGACGGTAATCAATAGAAGTTGAACAGTAGCAGAGAAAGTTAAGACACGGTTCGACTACATAGAATGGAATAAGCTGGTATAGAGATGTATCAGACCTAATAGGCCACAATATGTCGAACTACCAGAAACGACAATAGAAACGAGGAGGAATTAGTAATTCACATTTTATTTTCAAGCTGGACCATATGGCTCTTCTATCACACACGCAACACCAAATGCTAAAGAAGACGACAGGTGTAGCAGCAGCTTCAACAGGAGCAGGTCTCAATATACATAAAGGAGAAAGCAAGACTCTTCGGTTCAACATAATATGCCTTAGCCAAGTAACTCCTGATAGAGATGCCTTGGAGGACGTTAACACCTTTACATATCTGGGAAACATTATTGACGAGCAACGTGAATCTGATGCAGATATGAGGGCGCGGATCGGCATATCATGGACAGCATTTCTACAACTGAAGAACATCTCCAACTCAGAACAACTATAAACCATTACCAAAATCCCAATTTTCAATATAAATATCAAGACAGCTCTACTGTATGGAGCAGAAACTTGGGGAACTACGAAAGGAATCTTCCAGAAGATACAAGTGTTCATTAACCTTTGTCTACGCAAAATACTTTGGATCCGTTGCCTGGACATCATCAGCAACAACCTACTTTATGAAAGAACAAACCAGATTCCAGTGGAGGAAGAAATCATGAAGAAGCGCTGGAAATGGATAGGACACACATTACGGAAAGCACCCAACTGCGCCTCAAGACAAGCCTTCGCTTGGGATCCTCAAGGCTAAATGAAAAGAGGCAGACTAAGAAACGGATTATGCCAAAAAATGGAGACAGACATGAAAAAACGTACACCAGCTGGGTAGAATTGAACAGGAAGGCCAATGACAGCGTAAACTGGAGAATGTTGATCGGTGCCTATGTTCCATTGGGAGTAACATGCGTAAGTAAGTAAGTATAAGTAAATTAAGAAGAATTCAAAGTTGTCCAATGGTGACTTCATTTGGTACAGTGATCACTTCGGTAAATGCTTGACAGGAAAGTGACAAGGTCAATCAGAAGGAGCTGTTTATTCGGACAACCTTTTGGATAAACTGACACGTATACTGGGGTGCCAAAACTTAAAAACGCTATACTTAAGACATTATATCTATTTATCTTGACGCTTTTTTTACCTCTACACCCCATTCTTCGCATCACTGGTAATCTAGGTTGCCATTGTTAAAGTATTTTCTCAAGTAACTATTTTTGGTCAAGAAAAGTTTGGACTTCTTTAGTTTAGCGGAGCGCAAGAACCAACAAGCTGAGTGGTTCTCTCTTCTCGCTACCGAAAACTGAACATGTTGATCATTGGCGCTTAGTATTTGCATTTGTTTGTTTTTAAGAACTAAGCTTTCGTTCACCATTGTTGTTAGGGCGGCTTTTGATGTATGTAGCATGTCGTTTCTCAATTCATATAGGGTTTTGTTTCTGATAATTTATGATTGTACTAGGATTTAACTAATTTATACTTTGTTCATTTTTAGCAGTCCTTCTATAAACTTGTGATTTTAAACCAGCTGGTTCCAGAAGCCAATGCTGGCATTACAGAATGAGTTCCAAAGTCAAGTCTGAAAAGACAAAAGTGAAGTTTGCCCAGTCAAATATTAATCATGTTTACAAAGGGAATACTACAGAACCTCAGCATAAACCAAGTAAGTTCTTGTATTACTCGTTGGCTCATGTCGTTTAGCTCTAGTCATTTATGTGTAGGATTTTATTGCTTGTAGTTTTCTACGTTATCCGGGAAAACCTCTTAGTTGTGTGTTGCTGTATAAAAACCAGAGTTTAGAGTCTTAAGTCCTCATTAACTGGAATTGTCGGGTTCAAGAGTGTGAGTCAACTCTGGCAGTCATGTATTACGAAAGCAATCCTTGAGCAATTATCTAGCAGGGTTAACAATCTCCTGATCTTTTAGGTGAGAATAGTCTGTAATATTTCCTGTTACTGCTGTCAGCCCTTCTATCATGTCTAAGCAAAACATTAGGGCTTGATGGTGTTGGAACCAAGGTTAGTCGGCTAGTCAGCTGGCAACATAGAACTGAGTACGTACGTCCATCAGTTCAAGTTCCCACAACGCGTTAGCACATAGTAAAGGAACTGTCTGTTCAAATTTCATCCAGTAAAGGTTGCAACAGTGTTAGTGGTAATCGGAAACATTTGGGGATTTATGATATGGTCTTGAGGAATTTGGAGGACTAAAATTTGGGTGAACAATTGATGCATTTGCGTCATTGCAAAAGACTGTCAGCTATGTCATTTGATGTCCTTACTACCGCTTGCGGTTGTCTCGCGGACCCCAGCCAGGTAATCTACACCTAACATGGCTCAGTCCAGTTGTTAGTGACATCATGGATGTTCGGTGTATCAGTTTGCTCGCCCTACTTGATTGAGATCTAGTCTAGTTTCCCCCCAGGTCTACTCCCCATGTGATATCATTCGTCGAGGTAGTCAGTGGTCGGTTGGACGTACGCAACACCTGTGTCAACCATCTCAACTGATGAAGATTCACTATATCAATCGACCTACCAACCTTACTTAGTCCTCTTTGTTAACACCAGCATTACTTTGTCGGTGGAACCAGTATATACGAGCAATGCTCCTGAGACATCGGTGATCGAGTACCAGTAACCTATGATTATCTTCAATTCCAAATGACCATGTTTCACGGCCATAAAGCAAGACGGAACAAACTGCTGCACAGCAAACCAGTCCTTTCGTCAGTAGACGAATATCTATGCTATGAGTGACGCAAGTCACCAAACTCCATTCGAGCCTTTTGTGTTCCTGCCGGTCTCTTATCATTCGCCAGGCCATCAGTACTGATGAGGCTACCGAGATAAGTGAGGCGGTGAACACCCCATATCACTAGTTTAGATGCGGACGCAACCCAACTCTGAAGCATAATTTTGCATTTGGAGGGGAAGAATTGCATCCCACATTGTTGCTTAAGGTGGTTCAAAGACTATTTCGTCAGCATCTCTACCAAACATAACTATATTATCTGCGTGCTGTTACATTTAGTGATGTGGAAGTAGGCTAGAAAAAAGCTAGGGGCGGCCAAACCAAAACATGGCACAAATCCATGAAGTCATTAACAGGTATACTGAGCCATTTTGGTAGATGTAGGCTACCTGGTTGGGGCCCGCGAGATGATAATAATCGATGGTTAGAGACCGTGAATGACAGGACTCAAAATCGTTTGCAATGGCGCAGGTGCATTTACTCTTTGTGTTCTATAAACTTCTAACCTGAATTCCTCATTACCTCTCTCTAAATTTACCTCACTGAATTATACTTCTTGAATAATATCTTCGGACCTTAATCTCCATCACTGCCAATACTCCTACTTTTTCTACCACTATGGGATTCGAACTGAAAGTTGTCTCTGTGCTAATGAGGTATGGCAACTTGAACTTATGTACTCATGTACGAAGTTCTACTGACTGATATCTGCGTACTTTAATTCAACCAGTGAATCTCTTGGTAAAGTTTCAACTCCTAAAAAGTCAGATTATGAAAGTGTCGTCTCTGAAAGCATACCAGTAACAAGTTAGCACGTGCGCATGTTAGTGATTAATCAACAATCAGTTGATTAATAGGCTATAAAGGCAAGAAACCCTCACGAATATTTAGTGTGATGAAATTGAAAAAGTGTACTCAATTCCTGTTACCACTAGGAATAAAATTTTTTCTACCTACTTTCCACTGTTGAAACATTTTAGGATAATTTAACTACATACGAGTTGATTTTCGTACTTAGGACTTGCTAGTCTGTATGCTAGTGTTTCATTATATTAGGGATGCACCCTTGTTGGTTCATTGTCGTCTGCATCAAGAGCACGCGAACTCTCTTAGATTCATTCTTCCAGGTATGCAGAAAAATATCACAACAGAAAACACCAAATAAATATTATTTCAAAGGATTAAAGATAAATTGTCATGCTTGCACGTTATTCAGGACTCATAATGGCTTGGAATATCAGTCTACTTTTGTTTCGTGAACTTCCATCACGTCACGGACCCCTAAAATATGAGACAAAGATTAGTACACATTTCCTTACTCAATAAAATGAAAATGTTGGCTTATTCTCACAGGGCCCTCGTACTGGACAGTTAGGTTTTATTGGTATGTGATTGGTAGGGCTAACGAAGTTGAAAACAAGCTTTTAGATGCTTTATATTCAGAGATGCAAATAGTTTTGGCGCTACAAGTAGAATGTACTAACATCTAACTGTTTGAAGCGTTTCTATTTTGTAATAAGCTGCTGTGTTGACCTTACGTTTATCATTTTGTCCAAAGAAAAGTGTTATTCATTGTGGTCGTAAACATGCACTTACTGAGAGGATTGGATCACGTTTTGCTCACTACGCCAATGCGCTATGCTACCTAAAGTAAGATCAAGTTCAGCGACAGACAGACTATACCAGCTGTCTTATGGCTAGGTTGATTAGATTTATGATATCCAGTTGCTAGGAGTCATACCCAATATGATCTCAAACAAATCACACTACGATATGCCACTCATCGATCTACCTCAGTATAGCTATATGTTTACACAAAGTTGTCCCATATCCCCTCTGTATAGATATTTGCTTATTTAGGACAGACTTTTGTAAATTTTGTTACTTCCAATTTACTCAATTTATCTAGCTGTGCGACAATATGGAATGCAAGTTGTCGGAAAGCTGCAAGGAACTCGTCGATTGCCGCCACCAGCTTGGGTCCCTAGTATCAAGGCTGAAACAGGCGGTCTGGACAGTCGAGTTTCTCTTGTTCCCGCGGGTGGGGGTGGGTGGGGTGCACCCCCTACTTCAAGTTCTGAACAGCCAACTGTATCATCCACGGCAACTGACACCCTTCCAACTGTATCTACCTTACCCTCCGTGAATGGTGCACTATATAGTGAAACAGTCGGAATTTCTCTTGAACCAGCTTATACAAAGTTCGCATACGGTAAACCGGATCCGGTAGCAACGGGTGCATCAACATTGCAAGGTGAGAATAGTCGAATTCGTTTGATAAGTTCCTCAAGAATTTCGACAGTCTTTCTACGTGTCTTATAAAATTTTTTCCACGTATCTTCATTGACTTCATGTGATTACAATACTTTCAACAAAAGTAACTATCCAACATCAGATTTCCTGCGTTAAAGCTGGTCCATTAGGTATTGAAGTTAACTGAATGAAAAGAATTAGTCATCTAAAGTAGTTGCTTCATGCATCAGTCTCGTTGGCTCAGTTAATAACATAGGAAAGCAGCTGGTATCATTTCATCGTCTAATTGATTACGCCATTACATTAAAGCTTAGAGATAGATACCAAAGTTATTCCCCTCTTTCAGTTTGGGTTTCTGAACTGCTTTGATGATTATTCGCGGTTTACAGTGTGAAATAAAAAAGAAAAGTGAGAACCAAAAGCACTTTATACTCGTGCGCTTGCAAATCATAGTATACTTAATGTAGCTTTAAGACCTAGTAGCATTCAAGTGCAGGTGCGAATATTCCATGTACCTATGTTAATGGTTGATCTGGTTGTCAGGAGTGGCATCGACTTCATAACTCCCATGAAGTATAATAACTTTTCTAATTGAAGACATTGAAACTGTCAGGACGGAGTTTAAATAGGTGGAATTATTTTTTCTGGTTAGGGGTTTTTTAGCGAGCTGATTTTCTACGTGAAAGCCTCGCTAACCCCGTGCCCAGCCCTCCTTTATACGGGCTTGAAACCGACAGTAACCCCAGAGGGGCTCCAGGAGAATTAATAAGTAAGTAATAATTCAAGTGTGAGATGAGTTCCGAGAAGTCAGCAAACCCAGGTTAGCTTACTACGGAGTCCCAAAACAAGCACATCACGTACATTTTCAGACCGATTAATGCCGAATATCGTATCAGTATCAGGATATGATTTTCAGTATGCCGCACATAACGGTACTTTCCGATGTTCTAAGCAAACCTGCACAGTGTTCCAAACGTTTCATTTACCGATCTTAAATATATGTATATAGATATCGAATAGTCTAGTCAAACTCCATAAATTGGTAATATTCTTTCAAATCGCCTACGTAAAACAATCAAGCCATGCTTCTTTCTTGGTGAATAAAAGCTGTATTCGATGATCTTCTATGAGGTTAGTATTGAACACTTAGATTACGTAAGTTCAAACCAAAGAAAAGTTGTCAAGATCCACGTTCGACAGTCTTTATTTGACGAAACCAAAGCTCTCATTTACATGTGCATTGATTAAACTGATCTTTAATGTGATGTATTAATCAGTGGGTGTTTTTATCCTCAAAACAAAATCTACGGGATTAATCATCAAAATGAACTTTTTTGTTGACTGTTTATCGTGAATGACGACATTCATTAAGCCATAACAAAAGCATCTTTATCGTTTTTTACTTTCTGAAATTTTGTTTATGTCCTACAGGCTTTATCAATATATGAAAGTAATTATTATCACAATTTTTAAAATCAAGTAAACCCTAGTGTGATTACATATAACTAGGATTTCCTCCTTCTTTTAGATTTTATATTAGCTAGCAAAAGTAACGAAATATCCCATTTTTTTATGTAACAGATACTGTAACTGGTGTAAACGGTTCTATTAAGACGAATAAAACTGAAGAAGTAGTGAAAGATAAATTATCGAATCAACCACCGAAACCGGCAAGTGATAAGCCAGGATCAAGTGGAGGATTAGCAGCTAACAAGCCATTCTTCCAAAGACCAACTCCGGTAAGTTACAGCTTCAAATTTTATTTTTTCAACTCAATATATAAGATAGGTTTGATTTCCTTATTATTTTTCATATAGAGAGGCAAATGTAATGTAAAACTGAGAGTCTTAGTAGTGGCACCAATTATGGAGGTATGCTACTATCCATAGAATATTCCCATGTTGTAGGCTAGATAGATTTTGCCAACCGAATTCACGGAGAAATTCTCAACGAATTCAAGCCGAAACGGTGGTATATGGAGCGTCTGATAATCGATCCTAATCACTGCATCAAACACGTATCTTTTAATTAGTCTGAGCACTTACAAGCTACTAATGTTACAAATACCACTTTTTTTATCGTTCTAGATTGTAACCACTTCTAGTACTACAACTACAACGTCTACTAAACCTGAAATTCCAGTGAAGAATGATGGGGGTGCTCGCGAAATAGTTGGAGAGCCTTCTGGTTGGGTTGCTATTGGACAAGATGAGCCTGACTTCGACGAACGAATAATTTTCAGTGATGATGAAGATTATGAAGTGAAATCTACCAGGTCAAACACAACAACAAACATACCGGAACAATCTGCACAGTTTTCTATTCCTCCCCCTAATACTGTTCAAACCAGTTTGCATACTATACCTATGAAACCTTTTGTTAACCCGTCGACCAATTTTCAAGGAGCTTGTGTTATGCAATCACAACCGACGGTACCTCAAAACATGTACGGATCTAATTTAATCACATCAGACACTTGGTCTGCCGCAGATGCATCATACACTCGAAACTGTTCAATTAGCCACCCCCGGCCTCCATCACTTAATCTTCCCTACAGCATGGCATCAATAAACGCTCCTTGTGGAATTGCTCCTGATGCTAACCGTTCATTACCAAATGGGCAGTTTATGAGCCATGTCACATCTCCAGGCGTTATTGGTATGTTTAAATTTCCTTATACCAGTAACACGACATTCTAGGTTTGACGTTAAACTTCTCATTAACATTTATGTTTAAGTATGCACTTTGGTGTTGGTTTTTAAACACTTTCGAAGGAATAGACAGTTTCTAATCTTCCTAGGTCCAAGTCCTATTAGTTCTTTCATTTTTCTTGTGTAATCCTCGACCATCTACTCTGAGTACCATATAATCCATTCTATATCTTGTTAAAATTGATTCTTTTGCTCTTTTTGTTAATGTTAATGAGGAAGCTTTTTGCTCAATACTTACTATTTACTACTACCAATCTGCACTTTCGTTGCTGTTTAGTTTGAGAGCTGCGTATTAGTGGTCATTTCCCGCGATCGAAACGCATTCTAATTTGGTTCAGGCAACCAAGTAATATCACTATCCAATTGCCAAGTAACTAAGTTGATTTGTTGGTTTTTTACCCATGTTTACTTTATGGAGATAATACAAACTCAAACTACTGACAACACCTACACCGCACATCTGGGTTTAACGAACGGTAGCTTCTGTTTTCCCGTAACCATGAACAGATGTAAACGACCGACTAGTAATACTTGCAACCGGTCAAATTTGACTGGTTATTTGTACTAAATGAAGCATATTCTTTGAATTGGTTTTTTGCTTGGTATTCTAAAGGTCTATTTGTAAAATTTCATGCTTTCGATACGTGACACAGTGCGATAATGCAATTTTATAAAGTTGGTGAGCTTCATTCGTCAACAGTTGGCTTCGCACAAATATACAGTAAAAATTGCATGTGCTAAATATTCAGTGTACGGATGTATCAGACAAATGTCATCATATATACCTAATCCACAAGTTAAGTAGTAGTGTTCGTCTTGAAGGATACTCTACTGGCAATCATAATCTCACTTTTCTGTTTAACTAATAGATATTTGACACAGTTTCAAGGTCATTTACATAATGTATTCATTGTCTGCTTTTGCTATAACTTGGATATGTTATTTCGAAAAAAAATGTCGGAACCGGTACCTTTTTTGAAAACATGTAAATTCTCAGGATTCACAGAAATTGTAATAGTATTAGATTACCAGAAGTACGCAAACTATACGGTGTCGCATTACGTTGTTAAGAGACCAAAAAATTCGATAACTGACTATTTTTATGTTTTTAAACTTTCAGATTCGTTCTATCCTCCACACTCACTTCAAAATCGTTTGGCGGCCTCGATTACGAGCGGCATTACTGATTCTGTAAGATCAGCAGCCGATGTGGACACTGAATTACAACAGGCACAGAGGCAGGCACGAACTCAAGAATTTAAAAATGCAGTTGAAAGAGCTCAACAGGCACGAGCACGGCAAAAGCTTTCTGAAAGTTGCTCAGCTGAAAATGATAGCATGTTGTCTAAGTCTGCTCTGGGTCTCTTGCCCAACATGTCAGAAAACAGGCCAATTCCATCAGTTCCTACACCTTTCGCGCCTACGACTAGCCAACCTGGTCCTAATTACTTGTTTCCAGTGGGGGATCACTCATCTGTTAACCATATGCTAAATATCCCTCATAATATGCTTTCTGCGTTTCCAACATCAGGACCTCTGGATATAACTACCGCTATTGCCGCTGCTACTGCTGCAGCCATGGCGTACACAGGTGGGACAGATAGTGGGGTCCCAGAAAGAAGTGCAGTTGATATACCTCTTAATGCTTCTTCAATAATGTCTCAGACACAGTTACCGATGCCTATAAGTTCTAACACAGCAACTGCTGGCGCATGGCAAACTCCGTTCGCTTCAAACAATTCCCTACCTGCTGCTATGGTTCGATTGCTTTCTCAACAGCCTCATATGGCACAGTTACTGCAGAACGCTCTAAATATGCCTACGGGTAATTCTCAAGTGCCTAAGTCTACTCAGCATTCACAAGGTGTGTTTGTAAATCCAGACTTCATCGTGGAACGTTTTCTCGAAATCTTCAATCAGTCACAGGTAAATCGACCTCAGGGACCCTCCATTAGTCCACCCAAAAACACGTCTTCAGAATCAAATGCTCAGGTCCCAACATCTACCCTGCGACATGATCAGTCTTCTACTAGTACTGTGGATTCATGCCTACGGAACCAGTTCGCATCTACGACACCAATTTCAAATGATCCTGATGATTCTGTTGACTCACAAAACACTAAAGATTTTGATGGATCAAACGAAAAATCTCATCGAGTTCACAAAGTTTCCCAATCGTCCAACAGATCAGATGTCCCCGTGGTTACTACAAGCTCTACTGTAACAAGTAGCAATTCTCCCAGTCAACGAACTACTCGTGTTCCTGGTTTAATGGATATTAAAGTGTCATGTGCATCAACTCAACATTTGGCTCATCTCTGGGACAAAGAAGACCACTTACTCGACCCAGGACACCGTGGTTTTCGAGGGCGTGGAAAGAGTTTGATGCCATACAAGCCTCAGAGAGGGAATACTAAGGGTCGTGGAACCACTAGAAGCCATCTTTTGGAAGCGGTGACAAGTGACTTAAGTAAGTATTTCATAAATGTTTGTGTTGCTTTTTACATTTTAAAAGTTGCGTGACTCTACAACGCTATGTAATTATAGTGATTTGCTCCCAAAATTCAGACTTGTTATCTTCAAATTGACGAGACCTGTTATAATTGTAGTTATAATCGTACAACATCCCTTTACAATCTCATTTTTTCTGATTGTGTCGTGCGTCATGTTTTTTTGGCGTTCACTTGTACCAATATCGATATCATCACAGTAAGTTAAAATAATCAAGATAAATCCTTGAGTGGTAGAAGTGGTGGCGTCAGTGTTAGTGGATAGTAGACAAATTTAGCTTAGAAAATGGGATTGGAAAAAGGTAATCCATTTTTACAAGTTAATTTGAAACCCCAGGATTGGTAACGAGTAAACTTCAGACAGAGAAAGTAAGGATTTGATTGTGACCGATTTGGTCTCGTGTGCTGTGATGGGTATGAGGGGGGATGGCTCTTCCCAGCTGCCCACACTGTGGAAGGGTGTTTTCTGAGGAACCTGAACAGGAAGGCAGATTAGCGTTAGTCTTAGAGCGTGACCATAGCCCTAGGAACAACTGCTTGAGGCCGGTCACGCACGGTCTTTTTATGAGTTTTTAACGTGCTAGCTCCGTCTTTTCCAAACGGCCCTACCGTCGGAGGCGGAAATCCGTGAGGTAAGGTGAGGTGTGATCTTTTTAGGGTTAACCTTCGCTAACCCCTTCCTTCCTGTGTGAGGAGGCAGCATCTCTGCAGATACTGGTTTTCTGAAGGAAACACCTTACTGCCTATACATCCTTGTACAATGAGCAGTACGACTTCGCCCTCAGACATATAGTTGCTGTTCTCCAGTCAACCTGCCTGGCATGTTAGGACCTACTGAAACATATGTTCTAGCCAATATAGCTCGGTTGGGTCATTACGATAGCCAAAGTTGATCACCACGTCAAGGTAGCAGCTACGATCGGGAAACTTCCGTAAAACTATAAAATAATCATAATAATAATTATTCGGAAGTTCTGAAAATCTTTTCATGTAAATGTTTTTACTCTCCAAATCTCTGAAGCAAATTGGAAATTTTTTAAAAATTTGCAACTTGCACTTTTCTTCATTCTTGAAATTTTTTTTTAAGAATCTATGAATCTTCGCGAATCAGGTAATCCACAGTTCTCTGCAGACGATTATGATGTATCACATCGATCACATAGTGTTTCGAAATCATTGAAATCTTGGCATTCAAAATCGTCACGCAGTGTTGATGATTCAGTGATAGATACCTATGGTACAAATACACGAGTCAAATCTGGATTTATCAATGATGAACATGTGAAGTACAGAAAACAGAATCGAAATATCACAGATGATGGTAATTGTTGGATGCGTACAGATTTAAACGATCATAGTTCAACTTCTGTGTTATCTAGCGATAGTGACAGTAATGAATGCGGTATTCTTAGTGATGTTCAAGAAGGTGATGGTACTGAAGATGACAAGGGCTATAAACAAAACCGTAATGATTCTGTAAAGAAAGGCAATCAACACTTAAGTAAATATTCACATCCAAATCAAACTGGAATTTCCGATAATACAGATAATAAAAATAAAAGTCTCAGTGCATCATCATACAATAAACGAGGTCGACGTGGTCGTGTTGGGACGAACAGTCATTTTACAAGTTCCAGGTAAATTAAATTTCCCCAATAGAATAATAATTTTAGTTGTATGTAATATTAGTGAAAAATTATTCCAACTAAATTTAGATCTGATTGAGCTGCATTAAGTTTTCCTCCGTCATTCTTCATAAAACTATTCAACTCAATGCTCTAGCTGTACGTTGATTAGTTAGTGTGTTTTCTCTATCAATCTATGTATCAGTATTAGTAGTAGATTTCTTTTCTCGTCAACTCAAACGATGAGTATCTTATTGATCTGTGCGAATGGCTAATTTTGTGAAGCACTAATTGATTAGCCTCCTTTGAATTGATTCCAGTGTTATACTAGTGATTGTTTGGTGTATTAATTCATAGGTCTCAAAAGATCCTGGATTTAATAAATAGAGCTAGTTGTTATCAATGAAAAAATTCAATTAAATCTTTTTTTTGAAAAAAAATTTGCAGGAGTTATACTACCGATGACTTCTCATCATACTCAAAACGTTATTCAAAAGGTTCGGAGCAAGACTACTATTGGCGTCAGCATTATGTTTCAACAGGATCTAGAGGAGTTCGTACAGGTCATTCTGCTGGTTCGAACGTTGATCAGCAGCGCAAACATCGCAGTAATGATGATGTTCTTTACAGGCCATCTGAACGTCGTAAGCTTTTCTGAGCATTTTTTTCTCTTTTTTTTACCGTGTTCACTGTGTATCTTTGTTTTTTGAAATGCATCTTTCAGTGTATCATTTTTGTGGTTTCGGATAGTCGATCTTATCGGAATAGCATCATAGTAAGAACATACATTTTGTGTGGTTTGACTAAAACAGTGACATCTTTTCGAATAACTTGTACTCTATGCTTATGAAAAATATCAGTCTATGGTCTACACCTTGTAAGCAGGGCTGTTGTGAAGAAAATGGTACAAGGTAGGGATGACAAATCAATAGATAAAGTATTGAAATTTCATCAGTTGAGGTGGTTGCGACATGTGTTGCGTATGCACAACCACCGACTGCCTCGACGAGCTATGTTTTGTGGTGTAGGAGTAGGTTGGAAGAAAGCTAGGGGCTGCCAAACACAAATCCATGAAGTCACTGACAATTGGACTGAGTCATGTTGGTAGATGTAGAATCCTTTGCAATGGCGCAGGTGCATCCATTCTTTGGCTCGTCTCAAATTCTGATCCTCTGGATTCATCACTTTTATCCTTCTCTTTTTAAGTTTATTTCACTAGATTCTACTTTTAGAATACTATCTTAGAACCCTAATCTTCCCGATTACTGCTAATACTTCTACTGTCGCTACCACTGTTGGATTTGAACTGACAGTTGTGTCTGTGCTAATGCGCTTTGTCAACTTGAACTGATCTACGTGCTTACAAAGTTCTACGTTGTAATGTTGAAGTTGAGCGTAAAATTTAAGACAAGTGTCATATCACTGAGATGTTCACAATGTAAAAGGGTTTTACCTAATTAAGTGGATGCGCCACGTTACTTACCAGAAATAGTATACATTCAGTGTTTGATCTGTGTCTCATGCTGCATTAGATGCAAATGCAAACAACAAACAACATCGTTACAAAACTCAACTATCTCAAATTATGCAGCCCAGTTATATCCTGTATCTAGGTCGTTTTTCACTTGTTCATAAAATCACTTGTACAGATTGTTGTCTAAAATTTTTTAAAAAAATACGCATTTCTTTACTATATCCAACATTCTACTATTTCAATTCATTCCTGTTTTTTTCCTATGATTATTACTGTGGAAAAAAAATTGTGTGTAGTTGTTGAAGAGTTGCACTATTTATACACACTGTTTGTCTGTGTAGACTATGTTTTTCTGTCTGCATGAAGCTATTATATTGCCAATAACAGAGTCATCTTTTTGTTTCAGCTCAAATATTAAAACATGCATTCCGACTATTCGTTCTCATTTTCTGTGTTTGACGTTATTTGCACCAATGGCAATGTACTTATACTTTAATTTTCCTTTAATTAAACAGAAACCTCACGAAGTATTACTTCTGGTAGTTTTACTGGAATATCTGGATATCTCGGTGGTCGAATGACTCGTTCATATGGACAATATGAATCATTTCGTGATCAGAACAAGGATTTCGATAGTCAATACTATATTACAAATGGTCGTCAGATGAGACCACAAAAAGTGTTTTACAGTCACAAGGGACAGTTTTCGAGTGCCACAGATTTTTCTCATGATTATGTTATGAGTGACGAAGACGAAACCAAGTCACATACTCGATCAACCAATCATCCTGAGGGTAGAGCAAAAGTTTACACTGCCAGTGGACGTTTTCATAAAACTTATCGCAAAAATTCAACAAATACTTCCACAAAGTCTGAACTAAACAATCAACCACATATTGATACTGAGCAGGTAATTTTTTTTAAAAAAAGTAGTCTGTACAATTAATTTAAATTTCTCATGATTACACAAACGTCCAAATGTTGAATATCTCTTGTATTGTTTTAACCTCCAAATGCCCAGATAAGACTGGGTAATATTTACTCTCGAAATGCACTCACATACGGCCACGCGCGTATAACCACTGCCAGAGAATTCTTACTCACTGCCTTTTTGTAGATGCGGAGGGTTCATTTAGAACACTAGGAAAACCTTGATTTCAAGCCAACAGTTCACATTGGCTCCAGGATGCTGATGGAACAAATACAGTATGAACCTATTATCGTTGTTGTGCATCCACTACCATAGGACTGTACTGCTGACGTTATAACGTGGAACTTACCACATACCACATTAGCATAGACGCAATCGTCAATTCAAATCGCATAGTAGTAGAGATAGTAGAAGTATGAACAGTAATCCAAAAGATTAGGGTTTGAAGAAGTTTTTCAAGGAGTGTAATTCAGTGAAATAAATTAAAAAAGAGAAAGCTAGGGGTGATGAGGAATTCAGATTACAGTTTGAGAGAAGACAAAGAATGGAATGTACCTAGATGGGATTTTGAGCCATGTCATTCAGGGTCTCTAATCATCGGTTATTATCATCTCACGGATCCTAACCAGGTAGTCGACACCTGCCAACATAACTCAATCCACTTGTCAGTGAATTCGTGGATTTGTCCTATGTTTTGGTCTGTCGGCCCCTAGCTTTCTTCCAACCTACTCCTACACTACAAAGCGTAGCTTGTTGAGGCAGTCGGTGGTTGGGCATACGTAACACATGTTGCAATCACTTCAACTGATGAAGTTTCAATGCTTCAGCAATTAATCTGCCACCCTTACCTAGGACCCATTTCCTAACGACAGCATTGCTTACTCGGCTCTCCCAGGATACACGAGCAATGCTTCGGAGACTCCTATAATCGGATACCAATAGTCTACGAATATCCTCAACTCGTACCGGCCATGTTTTGCATCCATGTAGTATGATGGACCGAACTGCTCCACAGTACACTCGTCCTTTGGTTAGCAAATGGATATCTCACGCCATAAGTGTTGCAGGTCGGCAAAAGCCAATCGAACCCTACTCTTGTGGATTAAAGTTTTTAGTCAAAGACTTTGTGAGTGATTCCGTAAACAAACTATTTGGTTGTGTTTGGGCATAAATATTTTGGATTCTTCATACTAATTTGTATGTGTTTGAACAGATATAATGTATCAGATTTTAGCTCGTACGATAGCAATAACATTTAAATAATCAAGTGAACAGTATTTTATCATCTAGTATGTATATACATATATATTTTGTCCATATAGTCATACCTTTAAATAAATTTACCTCGTCTATAATATGTCATCGCATAGTCGCACGAGATACAATGTAAAACCATGTTTCATACTATTCGAAGTCATGTTCCATTCTAAACTTATCTACCTACATAATTTACTCATATTTCTCTGTTGAACTAGGTAACTAAACTGACTCTGGATAGTATTAATAATCAAACAGAAGGTATAGATGATTCTGAAGTTCCTACCGTTCGTGTTCCCGCTTCCGATTCAGTTATTATGAACGCTCACTACACAAAAACACGTACAAATCGTTTTGCCACGCACAAAGTTTTAGGAACAACCAAGCGTGTAAGTAATCGTGCTGGTCAAAACCATCAATCAAAACGACTTAATGGTTCGGTTGTTCATACATCTCGTCGTTATCGAGAAATGCGTGATCGATACAACGATGAAAAAGATGGTGATGGAGGTGCCGCTGCTGGTGGTGCTGGTCGGTCTGGAACATCTAGCGGTGTATCTGCTTCAATTATGTATAAAGCTGGAACAGGTGGTAATAGTAATTCTCGTAGTGGTAATCATTGTGGCGGTAACGGTGGTCATTCTGATTCTGTTGTTGATTTTGTTGATCAAGGAGGAAAGCAAAACAATCATAATGAAATGGTTTCCAATATTGCTAATGATTCACTTGATGAAAACAATGCGAACTCACGATCACTACTTATACGTCGGCGACAACCAGTTAGTAAGTTTTCTGTACATATATAATTGGATGTTGTTCTTCACGTGTTATTGGTCAACTGCTTGCTGATTATTTCTTACTACCGTGAGTGTAGATGCAATTACTAAAACTGTCAGTAATTGTTATTTCATTGAAGCTTGATGGTCACTGCACACACATCTGTCCAGTCGTATATAATTTGAGAATAGTGCTGCTATACAATGAATACATTCAGTCTGTTTGGACAAGCGATATTGCTTCCCTCATTATCTATATTGACCGATGAATAGGTTGAATGATTTTTGTTGAAACCTAAGTCTCATGCTCAAAATGTCAAATTACCGTTTCAGTGTTTCTTTACATTGTCTAGTTTTTTTTTATTTTATGTTTGATCAGCAAATATAGACATGATCATTACGTCCAACTTTTTGTAGTTTTTGCGACAGTTTATCCTGTATTTTTGTTCATTTTGAACAGTAAAATTTTGACAGAATTTATCTGCTTTTACATAAAGTTGGCGCTGGTTTATTATCTTCAGAACAACACTGAGAGTTGTACAATAAGAGCCTCTGGTTGAATGAACCTCGACATTGTGAATAAAAAAACATTTCATTATTCATGTTTGTATGATCTATAATTTGTACTGTTTAGTATGATCTGATCCAAACTGATGATGAATCGTTCCCAGAGGTTTTTACTTATCATTATCTGTTCTGTCGTTTCGTAGTATCTGTTTGTGAAAGGTATTCAAGTCTAATTACATTTATTTGTGCAGTCAGAAAAACGATCAGCGATCATTTTTGTCAAATGTTGAAGCATTTCAGTATTAGACTTTAAAATTTGTTTTCACACTCGGTCAGCTCGTAAATCTGTTGTTATTGGCTATGTTTGATATATTAATCTTTTACAGTGGTAACCGGCAATACTAGCGATACAAATGATGTTGATGAATGGGAAACAGCATCTGAAGGTTCATTTTCCTCTGAAACTATTAAAAATTCATCAAAGCCGCTGTCAGGTGCAAACAAACGAAAAGATTTTTCCGAAATGTCTACTTCTTGCCGTTTAAAAAATGATGTAAAGACTTCGAATTCATCGTCCACAGTGACAAGAGGCAATTCATCCAGTTGTCATGTTTCTGAGGCAACTATTCATCATCATCGTCATCATGATAATGATGACACGGAAGGGGGTAGGTGTGCATGATAAAAGTACCGTTCTTCTTAGTAGACCATTTAAACCTTCCTGTAGTAGCGTCCGTCATTTTACCTTTTTGGACGCTAGTTGTAGTTGCATGTAATCAAAGTTTGCATGCAAATTGATAATGTCACATCGTTAACTGTTTAATCACAAACAGAGGTAGGCATGTCTGTTGTTTTAACAGTGTATGTATGTTATTGGGTCAAATGGTAATGCGATTTGGGGATGTATGCAGTCTGCACAATTTTTTTTTAATCAATTATTCATACAGTTTCTCTCCATGCATTATGATGGCTCCTGTCTGAAAGTCAACATACAGAGTTTGCTAATATTCTATAATACTTAGCTGTATAATTACCGTATAATTCCCACGATTGAGTCATTTATAAATCTCTCATTTGTTACACATTTATGTTAGATGACCATTCATAACAAAATCTAGACTAGTCTAAGCGTCGGTACTACTGCTGCTCTTTACTAAATTTTCTTTAGGTACCAGTTCAGGATCTGCTGGTGGTGGGATTGCCTTACAAACGGAAAATTCTAAAGTCTCTTCTTCCCCATCGGTTATTAGTGGAACTGTACAGAAAAATGAAAAGTCATCTCATCTATCCTCTGGTGGAGGAAGTTCGACAAACCAACATAATGCTGCTGCATACCGTAGTAGTACACGTCCATCTCGATCTGGAACTACTTTCTACCATAAAAGAAATGATCTAGCATCAATACCACCGTTAATGTCGATCAAGCCTCATGCGTCATTTCCTGAGAATTCTTATGTCTTAGATTCTTTTTCTACATGGACGACTAATCGTTCTGAAGGTAAAGGTGAAACAATTATAAAAGATGATTTTAACAAGTTCACTCAATCCAGTAAAGAATTCGATGAATTAAATTCAGACATTTTTGATGAAGACAACACTCCACATGGAGATGGATTTACTAAAGTTGTCTCAAAAGCTAGCCGATATTTTGCTCGTCGAAGAATGCAACAAGAAGTTGCTGTTTCTGGTGATTCAATTATCAATACAAAAAAATCCAATTCTTTCTCGAGAAATTTTGGCAATGTAAACCAAGTATATGCAAAAGAATGTTCAAGTTTTTCTACTACACTTTCACAAAACTACATGAACACAAATGATCATAAAAATCATTCAAATGGATTGTTGAAAAGTTTATCAAATAAAAAGAAATATCTTCCAACTAAAGTAAGTTTTATGGGTCCACCAATATGTTTAGATACAACTTCTCATAGTTCTTCAACAGCAGTATGCACTGTTACAACTTCAATTCTATCTGGTCGAACTAATCAGTCGATTCCTTGTAACAGTAACAGCAACAGTTCATCAATAGCAACAACAACAACAACTACTACTACACCGTCATCATCATCATCGTCATCATCTGTATTGCAAAAGATTTCTTTCTCAACTACACGTACTTGGTCAAAAGTTGTTGGAACAAAATTTGCAAAGAGTCCACCTGAAAATCATGATGATTCTTCTACAAAAACTTCTGCATCAGTTTTACTCAATGCAAATTCAGTTTGGCAAACAGAAAATTCAAATCATATCATGAATAAGGAAGTGTCTAGGGAAGAGGAAAAGTTGCTAGAAAACGTCAACAACATCACTGCAACCACCACTGGTACGGATTCAATTGTGAAATGTTCTTATGCTTCTATGCAATCAATATGGTCGACAGGTGATGATAGCGCACCTCATCAATCAAATAAAAATCATTTAACTAATAATGCTACTCTACTCTTAGCCAGTAGTAGTACTAATAGTAACAGCAGCAGTTGTAGTAGTAGTACAGTTCAAGCTACAGTTGTTCCTTCTACTGGTCCACTATGTACCATTAGTCCTTCAACTACATTCTCATCTCAAATTTCTAATAACATTTGTAAAGTCAAACCTCAACAACAACTCCTTCAGGTCTCTTCTATCTCATCGCTTGTTCCAACCTCGATGCACTTAAATCTTTTGAGTCCATCGAATAATAATAATAGTAATAATAATACTATTAATAATAATTTGATTGAGAATATATCCACTACAGATTTGATAGCAGATAGTGAAAGATCAGATTTTGAATGTTGCAGTGATATTGGACGTTCAAGTGCCATTTTAAGATCACACAATTCAGATAATCTTCAAAATTTAACAACCACTTCCTTACCTAGTAATTCATTTCAATCTTGGTCTTCCAATGCTGCATTATATCCACCATTCTCTTTATCAACTATTCCTGTGAATCGTCATGAGAATACTATGTTTTCCGGTAATGTTTGGCCTACAGCAACTGATCAAAGTATCGATATGAATATGAATTGTATGACAGGTTCATATAATACTCCTCCACCTGGTACGAATCAAGCACATTTTCAAAATCAATTAAATTCTAATATTTTCTCGAATGTTTTAACTCACAACAATACTGTCCAATCATTGGATAGTAGTATGTCTAAGCAACAATCGAATATTTCTATTACACCGAGACAACAACAGCAACAACCACAACCACAGCATGTACAATCATATCAAAGTTCTATATTAGCACCAACGGATAGATTAAATATGTATTCTAATGGTCCTTATGGAAATAATTCAGCAGAATTAGGTAAACTACCAAACAATATGTGCGGTGTTCCGTCTCAACAACAAATGAGTTTTGTGTCTGCAGCAGCAGCAGCAGCACCTTCATTATATGTTCATCCACAGTCGACTGCAATTCAACCAGCAGCTCGTTCTTTTCATCCTTCTATGTCAATTCCGATTCAGTCACAAATGAGTCAAGCTCGAAAATGTAGACAACAGGTTCCTCCACATCAAATGGATCCATCGACATTTACTGCTGGATATACGAGTTATCCTGCAGATGTGAAAGTATGTGTGTTTCTGTTTTTTTTAGCCTTATTTTCTTTGTGATGCATGTGTTAATTTTGCAGTTTGGCATCAAAATCTAGTTTGTCTCATTGAATTACTGTTTCGTACTTGCATTTATATTAACAAATAACTACACAAATACTTTCTAAATTTGGACATGTTATCAGTTACATCCTAAATGTCGCTGGCTTTGAACGATTTGGTCTCATGTGCTTTTACGGGTATGAGTGTGGTCGTCGCTTCCTGGCTGCACATAACATGAAATGGTACTTTTTGAGGAACCTGAAAATGAAATCAGTTTGACGTTGGACTGACCGACCTGAAAGCGTGATCGCAGAGCCCAAGGAACAACTGTTTGAGGCCGTTCACTCACGGCCTTTTTATGGGAAGTTTTTAAAGTTTTAGCTCCTCTCTTCTAATCGCGTTACTGGTAGGGACTGGAATCCGTAGAGTAAGGTGAGGTGTGACATTTGTAGGGCCGACGTTTTCTAACTTCTACGTTCCTTTTGAGAAGGTAGCATCGTTTCAGTTGCTGGTTGTCCGCGGGAAAAACGTAACGGCCGTCACACCCCTCTACACTGAGCAGTACAACCTTAAGTAGTTGCTTCTAGACTTACCGTTCTCCAATCGACTTGCCTGGCATGTTAGAACCTAAAGGAACATCTTTGCTAACCAATATAGCTCAGTTGGCTTATCACGGTAAGCAAGCACGACCACCATGTCAAGGTAGCAGCTACGGTCGAGCCGATTTCTACTAATACTTCTACTACTTCTACTTCTGGGATTTGAATTGAAAATTGTATGTACGTAAGAATCAGATTCATCACGTTGATTTCAAATCAATAGTGAACATCGGCTCCAGAATCCTGATGGAACAAATGCCGCATGGACTTATTGTCGTTCACTAACTACCATGTGTCTATAGCCCTGACGTCGTTGCATTGTCCCGTACATTAGATCTTTAAGATAAAAGCTTGGTGGGTAACTCTCTAAAAAGACTACTTCGTTCTGTTTGGGCACTGGGAAAGTATCTGTTTGTACTAATGTTTACGTATTTAGATAAAATTTCCAATTAGAACTTATGGTGTAAGTGCGTTTTTGTTTGAATTTCTCTATGTAATCTTTTATTTTATTTGTAGAATGAATACAATTTCCCTCCGTCCATCGCTGGTTGTATTCCACCTCCTCCCACTGGTGGCCTTTATTCCGCCATTCATCCTCATTCACAATCTAATTACCCACAGAATTCAGGAAGACATACACTAGGATTTCCTACGACTGTAAATTCATATTCTCTCCTAGGAAACCCTTCTGCTACATCCAGTCTACAAACCACTGGACAACAATTTGCCCCAGCGATCGGACCTGCTGCTGGTAACGGTGGTGGTTTATTGCCACATCCTGTTCCTCAAGGTGGTTACAATAATGCACCTTGTCATTTCCAAACACCGATTACTTCAAATTCTGTCTCAAATTATGCCAACGCTTCTAACTATGTAGGTGTGATTGGAGGAGGTCGGCCTAATACTGATCATTCAAATGCTACTGTTCGACAAAGAGGTTTACAGCATCACAATTTATTCACTCATCCAAACCTTTCACAATCACCGTCAGCTCAAGGACAACAGTCCTTTCAATTGCCATCCAATTTTTATCCGTCAATTTCACCGTCTCATCAACGTGTCTCTATTCAACAGTTTGGAGGTGCATCTCGTGGCGCAATCACTGGACCGATTAATCCGCAAAATGGTCTTTATGGTCCAGGATTTTGTGGGGCTTCTCATCCACCAAATCAAGCTACTCCACCTCCTATTGGACATCAGTTAAATCCTATAGGTTTTTATAATAACCCGTTCCAATATCCATCTCGTCCAGGTGAGCATTTCACGTTAAACATAATTGATTCCAACCAAGTTATATTTCCTTGCCTCCTTATGTTCGATACAGCAGAATCATAATTTAATTTATACTGTTCCTAATTGCACGATTATTGTGTTATGTATGATATGAGGTATCCGGTATCGGATCGTTATACGTGCTAACTATTTGTGCGAAATTACAAGTGTGAGGGAGAGTCTTATTTGGCCAGAGAATCATATATATGCATATACGTTCCTCCTCGTTAGAAAATGATTCCATTCCTTGACTAATGATGTGCATTTGTTCGAATGCCTTCCGGATACCCTAAATAAAATTATTGGTAATAGAAAGCGTCATAAATGTATTGTTTTCGCCAAATTATAATTTAAACTCCTCATGACCTTCATCTTCTCAAATCTATTTGACTGGATTATACTTCTTGAATGATATCTTCGCAACGTGATCTTTCCGATTACTGCTTATACTTACTTGTAATACCTCTAGCACTATGTGATTTGAATTGACAATTCCATCTCTCTGTATACTAATGTGCTATGGCGACTTGAAATGATGTACACCTGCTTACGAAGTTCCACGTTGTAGCCGACTGACTGAATTAGATGTGTTTCATAATGTAAACTATGGAAGTCCTTATAGAACTATCATTTCATGAGACGGATAGCAAAGATGACACTCTTCTGACTATGCAGAAAAGAAAATCATTTATTTTCTTCCTTAGGTCCTATGACTAGTTGTAGTTGTTGATTTAAGTCGACAGCTCAAACAGACTTGCTACTCTAAAGTGTGTTGTATACAACACATGAAATTGTTGTTTTGAATCGATAGTTAAAATATATTCATTTTCCTGATAAACATGCTCTTAATTCCACTGCACCCACCACCTATCACAGTTTAGTTTGTTGAATGATAGATATCAAAGCTCTTATTAATACGTGAAAACTAATTAATACTGATCTTATAATTTTGCTTAATTTCCTTCCTCCAATTTTTTTTTTCTATTCTTTACATACACAGACGGACTTCATTGAAAATTCAACATTATCATCGTAATCATCATCAGCATCATCCGTACAAAATGTGTGTTCTGTGACCTTGTCAATTGTGAAAAATTTGTTGTTTTGCCCGAGTTCTGTGCTTCCATCTTCATTCTAATAATAATAATAATAATTATTAGATCCTATTTGTTATCCAGTCACGATTTTAGTCAAGCATTGGTCACTAATAAATAATTAATTAATTACTATTTGTCTTAAAAAAAAAGTACACATTACATTTGTTTTTTTATTTAGAAAAAAATTGAAAAAAACAACAATTAGATCAAATGTAGTCTTGCCCAGTTTTTTTTTTAAAGAAAAAAAAACTAGAACAAGTTCTTTTTTGATTTCTTCTTCTTCTCCATCTTCTGAACTCTCTTTTCCATATGTTTATGTCGTCAATTCACTGTCTCTCTCTCTCTCTGTCTCTCCGTCTTTATACCAGCTTACTGTTTTTGGTTTTCATCAAAAATATTTATTGTTCGAATGTAAATTCTGTTTTTCTTGTGTTGTGTATGAATTCTTGTTGTGTGTGTGGATGTGCGTGTGCGTGCGCGCGTTGATGAACATTGTCTCTTCCAAGAAAATAAGAAAGAAGAAATTACTTGTCAACATCGACAATGTTTTGCCCTTTTTGTTTGTTTGTGTATTTGTGATGATAGGATTGATTGCCCACTCGCTGGCTGATTAGGAAAGAATTTTATGATTACTCATTCTCTCTCTGTGTGTCTGATCTTGTTGAATCGCCTATTAAAATACCTTTTTGTTTGCCTATGAGATGATTTGACACTTGATCTGCGGTCTCACTAATTACTATTAACTATTATTATTAATATTATTATTATCATTATGATTAATTGTTGTACACGTACTCCCTTTCTGCTCATCAGTTAACTTGATTGGTTATTCTTGTAAACAGGATATCTCTCTGATATATATATATATATATATATATATATATATATATATATATATATTCAAATAATATGTTTACATTAGCGTTGGTTCTACACTGCTACTACTGCTACTACCACTGATAGTTCGTTGCTTGCAGTTTGTTATTTTAATAGATTTGTCTGTTTAGGTGTTAATGAACAATGACTGTTACTCCGGGAAAGGCGTCTTATTAAGTAGTAAGTAGTTTCACAACCTGTGATAATAAAATGGCGCTCCAAATCTCTGTATGGTTGATTGATTTCTGTTTTGTTTCTAAGCTCCTTTTACTTACATTTTTGTTAGAAAAAAGTTTCTAGGTAAGGATGGCAAATCAGTTGATGAAGTGGTGAATCTTCATCAGTTGAGGTGGTTGAGACATGTGTTATAAATGCCTAACCATCGACTGCCTCAATGAGCTATGTTTTGTGATGTAGGGGTTGGTTGGAAGAATGCTAGGAATGGCCAAACTAAAACATGACATAAATCCATGAAGTCATTGACACGTGGGTTGAGTCATTTTGATGAGTGTCGACTATATGGTTGGGGTCTCCGAGTTGATAGCGATTGATAGTTAGCTTGGGTGACGTGGCTCAAAACCTTTTACAATGGCGCAGATGCATCCACTCTTTGTGTTCACTCAAACTCTAACATTCTGAATTCCTCATCATTTCTATATTTCTCTTTCTAAGTTTATTTCACTAGATTAAACTTCTTGAATAATATCTTCGAACTGTAATCACTGCGATTATCGCTAATCCTTCTACTACCGCTACTACTATGGGATTTGAGTTGGCAAGCCGATCTCTGTGCTAATATGGTATGGCAACCTGAACTAATGTACGTACGTACGTACGAAGCTCTATGTTGTAACTGACTTAATTAATTAATTTCCTCCAACGATTATTCGAAACGTGTGTTGTCCCAGTTGCCGCTTTATTTATTATAAATGTATAATAATTAGTAGAGCTTTTTATGGATAATTGATGATGATATTCCCACCTCATTATTCGTATCAGGAGTGAATCCTAATCATCAGGTTTTGTAATTATGAACAAGAATATTGAAGCATTTTATGTAGATGAAGAATACAAGTCTGTGAATCCTCACTATTTTAAGTATCTGTATACAACACAGACGAGTTTAATTCGAAAAAGCGATACTGATGTGAAGGATTAGTTTCCAAAAAGATTTATGTTATATATATATATATTTGCGACCAGTAAACCTGTCTCCATTTTCTTGCATGACTTGAACCTACGGAATATGTCCGCTTCATTTAATGTGCTACAGTATTTCCCGTCTAATCGTAGCGTTTCCTGTGTAAACAGTTCAGCGTACTTTTGAAGCTTTTGTTTTGGTCTTTTCCAGACCATGGAAACATGTTTTCTATTTCATTCTGTAGGATGACGTAATTCAATTCTCGATTCAGTCATCTGACGTTCCGTTTCGTGAATATTTGGCATTTGATATGCTTACTTCGGTGATACCTAGTAAACATGAGACTATTCATTTTTTTCATCCACACTTGATATTTGGTAAATGTGTTATCCTGATTCCTGAATATAATATCTTATTTCATTGCTACTCTTGAACAAGTTACCGAAAACCCATCCATGCACTACCTAGATTTATGCGTCTGTTGGTTTGAATTGTTTAACCAGTCATATTTAAACAAGATATCTATAATTTGATTAGACCACGAAATTGCAATACAGTACAACAATTAAAAAATCAGTTAGTTTACTAAAATCTTGATCTCGTGCTGGTTGGCACTTGTTAGGAAGTCTATATTGCGATCTCAGGGCGACGCATATTTCCTTAGTAGGCTCAAATCTGCCTCACTCATTTTCTCAATCAAGGACGTTACCATTGGATTGATAAATAATTTCGTTTGACATATTAATACTTATGAGTAGTTTGAATCTTGTCAAATTTTTTGAGTTTATCAATCTGTAATGTATCGACCTTCTCAACTGGACCGGTTATTAATTCAACTTTTGATCATGCTGTATATTCAGCACCCAAATTATTGAGACCAGTGGTAGTACTCATCTCTACAACAGCAATGCTGTAGAATGTTATACAGACAACCAATCAGAAATGTATTAGAAATTTTCACATGGTCAGTTTGAGCAAAATGAAGTGGTTAGGAATGGATATATTCAGAACAGTACGCAGTTCACGTCTATCAAACTCGATTGATGATGGCCATAGAGTGAGTGGATAGTAGTAACACATAGCAAAAGCTTAAACACACTAGGGAATGGCCTAAAGGCCAGTTGCTTAGGATTGTTCAAGAAATTTAATTTCCAAGTGTCAGGGATTTTTATTATACACCATTGTGTATTATTTATGTTTATGATTCGATAGTCAGATGGATTTTCTCTTCCACTATAACTTTCTTGCTCAGGTAGTTAAGCTTGACAGTGTACTTATTGATATTCAGATCCCAGTCGCTGATCATATCGCTGATCGTGTTTTTGTGATCTTCAATTTCATCTTTGGAACAATATTATTTGATAACCAACTATCTCACTCATAACATCTATGTCTATTGGATATTTTGTATAACTGCCACAATTTTTGTGTCATCGTGGTCTTTTTTGAATATAGTGTATTGAACTATGATTTTTGTTTTCTGATGTTAAGTCGGTTCGGGTTCGGGATCTGGTCATTAACGTTTGAGAGAATTGTCATTCTTAGCGAAATCTATAGTTTTATCACGTAAACATCGTTGTGAAGAGTACAACAGCATATGATTCTCATCTTCCATCGCTCCACAAAATCTCATTGATTTGATAGATTAACGGTTGAACTTTTGAGAACAGGAGACTCGGTGTCTTTGATTGAGTGGTTAAGGTCTTGATTGTCATCTGTCTAGTAAAATTGATCAACTTTATCCAAGATTTTCCGAATGAGTATTATAATTCTTTCTTTATTTCAACCTAGCTATTCCTAATGCTTAGTCTTCTCGGACACCACTACACTCAAGAAGTTTTCTTACATGAGAAGATTCTAGAATGTTCCCTCACTATTGGCTATCGCTGATTGGATCAGAAAGAGTTTGTTCTTGGATATATATTAAGATATGCAAGAATTCGCACAAATAATTTCAAGACTCCATTCAAAGTACATTTATACAATGGTATTTTCAAGAAACGTTTGCGAAATTCATACAGTTGAATCAAACATAAACTAAAGTTCTATACTTTTCAAATCAACAATTTCACTTCACCAAAACAATTAGAAAACAGGATTAATATAGAGTCTCAATTTGACAAGTTATTTGATCAATTAAGGAAAAAACTTTCATCCAGTTTTTAATCTATCTTCATCCATTCTAACCAAAGATCACACAGGCGCAGTACCCTTCAAACTATAAGCAAAAGAATGAAGTCATGGATAATACGACCCAATAGAGGCTTAGTAAGTGTTTGTACTACTGAACATATTCGATTATATTGATGAAATGAAATGAAACCAGCTGGGATTCAATGGATGTTAAGTGCAACAAAAAATGAACTGACTCAACAGAAAAGTGAATTGATTGATTGACAAAGGAAATTAGTAATAACTCTACTTATATAAATCTAAGAGACATGATAGATCATGTTTCTTATGCAAGTATGGTGTATCAAAATGTGTAGCCAATTATTTAGTACTCAAAGACTTACTGATTGTCACATCACAATATTCTTTGCACGTGACATTTTTACCTCCCAATATACCGCTTCTTGAAAACATAGACATAATTTGTAAGCAATCTGACCTCTATCAGTACAAGAACTCAAACGAAGTTCTACTTTGTAGTTGATTGATTGAGCTACTTACTATGGCAAAAATGAAATAAGATTTACGTTAGATTCCAAGTTTATGTCGTCAAAATACAATCAACGCCATTGCTAATCATCTTTCAGCATTATTAACCGACATTTGAATCCTGTTCTTCTCAAATTCCCTGAAACCATTGCTGTTAAATGCCTCAAACAGGAATTAGGCAACCAAAAGAAATCATTTTGTTACGTTCCTCTCTACGCGTTCACCTTAGTCGAATAACAAGAACAAAACAATGAACCAGCGTCCAGGTAGGCTACTGTAATCCGTTGACCAAATTGTATCAGCAAGAAGTCTTGATATAGTGTAGAAATTGTATTCTACAAACACCCAGCCAGCACACAATGAATCCAAGCACACAAATCGCGTTTATTTATACTCTATAGAGATGTCCTTGGAACAGTCACAAAAATAGCACCTTCAAATGACATAGTAACCAATCACAGCCAAGGGATTTCCTGGTGGGAAATGTGATCTCAAGGTCAACTGATCGGTTTATCCAAAATAAAGATATTTATTAAGCGCTTTCTGGCGATCTAACATCCCTAACACATTTATAAATTCTTTACTACTAGTGATGACTTCATTGTCTATTTATTACGTCGTCCCTGCAGATGTTCTCTCTCGATTTGTGTTCAACAATAAGGCCTTTTTTTATTCACCTACCATCAGTTAATTTATTTGGTATATTTTGATAATCTATGTCTGTCTTTTTATTTCACACTGTATGTCTGTTTGATGTAGAATTAATTTTCTTTCATGCAATTTTCATTATTAAATAGAAATACTTCTCTGGTATAACAATGAAATTGTTTGATTTAACTTAGAAATAAGATTTTTCAACTAAATCTTTCTACAGGTTAATGTTAGTGTTAGTATAGTAGTTGTGAAGGTTGTCGGAATGACATGGAAATCAGTCAGTCAGTCAGTCAATAACAAAGTAGAACTTCGTACATACGTACGTATATCAGTTCAAGTTGCTACATATCACATTAGATCGAATTGTCATTTCGAATCCCATAGTAGTAGAAGTTGTAGCAATATTAGCTGTAATGATGAAGGTTAAGGTTCGAGGATATTATTCACGGAGTAGAATGTAGTGAAATAAACTTAAAACGAGAAAGATAAAACTGATGAAGAATCCATTCATCCAACCAAAGAATGGATGTACCTGTACCATTGCA